AATAATGTTCTATTCAGTCTTACGCTGATGATACCCAATTGTATTTGTCTTACCACCCGATTTCCTGAAGGCAAATAGGAGAATATCTTGTGATTTAGATCGTGTTGCCAAGTTGTATAACGATCACGGTTTACTTATCAATTCAAACAAATCTGCTGTCATAACTATTAAGTCCATACAAAGTAATTTCGATAGTAACTTGATAGGACTGCACTTGGAAGATGGAGACTTGCCTCATATAAAATCCGTGAAACATTTAGAAGTAATAGTGGATGAACATTTCACGATCACGTTTCCAGGGCTGTGCAAAATTCATACGCTAAACTGAATACAATTTACAGTTATAAACATGTATTATCTAGTCAAACCAAGATCAAGCTTTGTAACTCTTTGATTCTCAGCAAAGTCGAATACGGTGATGCGGTGTATGGTCCATGCCTGACGCAGTCGGATGCTTATAGGATACAGAAAGCGCAAAATAGTTGTACCAGGTATGCACTAGGTGTTCCGAGAAGGGAACACATTACTAGATACATTAAGGATGTCAACTGGCTCACGATGCGTCAGAGATAGATTGTACACTTGTTGTTCATAGTACAAACAGTCCTATTAACCAAATATCCAGCATATCTGAGCAACAAACTTTCATTCAGAAGTCAGCATCACTCGGCGAACTAACGCTTTGTAGGTTCGAGGGATGTCTTTTAAGTTTTGCATATAGAAACATAGTAGGCCGCGCGGATCGAACGTCAGTACTGAATCTTAACCTCACTCTTTAGTAAACTTAAATTCAAAGTTTTACAACAATACGTGCAGTGTTCTCACTACAGTGAATTTTTAAGTGTCACCAAGTCATTAGAAAAATGGAACTCAACCGAGAACATTTTCGCGCCATAATTTATTACAACTTTCAAAGACAATTAACGCAACAAGAATGCCTTGCTGAGTTACTGTCTGTTTTCGGCAACGAAGCGCCACATCAGTCGACAATTTCCCGTTGGTATGAAGAATGCAAACATGGACGGGTGACTCTTAGCGACGATCCCAGACCAAAAACGGCAGTCACCCAGGGAAACGTCGATGCTGTGCGCAAACTCATCATTAAAGATAGACATGTGACATATCGCGAGATTGAGGCATCCTTGAAGATCTCAAAGACCTCAATTCAAAAAATTTCACATGAAGAATTAGGAGTAAGAAAATTAGTTTCTCGTTGGATACCCCACCTGTTGACTGAAGAACAGAAAGCAGCCAGGGTTAATTGGTGTCAAACAACGCTTGACCTTTTCAATTCCGGAAACTCAAAAAATGTGTACAGCATTGTTAGTGGTGATGAATCGTGGATTTTCTGTTATAAACCAGAAAATAAACGACAGTTGGCTGTTTGGGTGTTTCAAGGTGAAGAGAAGCCAACAAAAGTCGAAGTGTTTCGAAAAATATGGTCGCGACATTTGTGTCAAAAGCGGGTCATATTGCAACAATTCCTCTTAATGAGCAAAGAACTGATACTGCGGATTGGTATACCACCATTTGTTTGCCAAAAGTCATCACCGAGCTTCGAAAAATCAACCCCGAAAGAAGAACCATCCTCCACCAGGACAATGCAAGCTCGCACACAGCCCAAAAAACAAGGCAGTATTTAACGGAAGAAAACGTAGAATTATTGGGCCATCCTCCATATAGTTCCGATCTAAGCCCTAACGATTTCTTTACTTTCCCAAAAATTAAAAACAGACTGCGTGGTTAAAGGTTCCAGTCACCAGAAGAAGCAGTTGACGCATTCAAAAATGCCGTTTTGGATCTGCCAGCACACGAGTTGAATAAGTGCTTCGAAAATTGGTTCGAGCGTATGCAGATGTGTATTAATCTTCGTGGAGAGTACTTCGCAAAACAATAAAGTCAGTTAAAACAACCTACCGTGTTGTTTTATTTCCATATGCAAAACTTAAAAGACATCCCTCGAATACCCTCGATATGATCCGCCAGGTAAAATAAAGGCATATTATTATTATTTATGCGTTTTAGTCAAACTCTGCAAAATATATGCCTTGATGATGCAAAATATTTCAAGTATTTATTAATTGTTGCCAAACTCAAATCATATACACTCAACATCGTAAATTGCTACGATAGAAATATAATCATCATAAAAAGTATAGCCAGAAAAATGTATTTCTCTTATTACTTGCATGTTTGATGCTGCCTCTACCAATTAAATTCTAAGAGTTCATAGCACCTCTATAGCTTAGTGTACTGTACCTACATCTACCTGCACGTCCTCATTAGAAATTACAGCTTTAATCCTTACCCACCTTCGGAATCCCACCCCCAGCGCATTATTATTCATTCATCCTAATGCCTATTTCGGGACCCTATAAAGAGCGACCACTCTCTTTCTCAGTTATTCTAGATAGTTTTGTTGGTCGAGCAAGCATCAACTGTGCTTTCGTTTCTGTGCTTTCGCGTTGCAAAGTTGATCCCGAGTTGATCGATATCGATCGTGTGCCTATTTCGTAACTGTTGGTGATGGAGTTTAAAAAGTTGAAACAGATGTGGGACAAAAATAAGAAAAAGCTGAAAAACGTTAAGGACGCTGTAAGTTGCTAACGATTTCATTATATCACTTATTTACGTTAGTTTGTTGGTGTTTTCTAACCGCGCAAGCTCAGAAATGATGATTTTGGAGAGGAATATGCTGTAAGATCATAGTAGCGCTACTTTTAGAAATCGATGCAACAAAAAAGGGTTCACATCGTTCCCATTTCGTTTTTATATGCTTTGCAGTTAACGTCATAATATGTGCAGTGTAGTTAGTAAATTTACTTTCCACCGTTTTTAAAGTTCTTGATTACCTAAAAACCGATAGAGGAAATGTAGCAGAAAAACAACGAGCTGCAAAAAGTTGAGAGCGCCGTTAATAGGTCACGGATTATTTTTGATTCATTCTGTGTTTGTTTAGGAACGGTGATTAGTATAGTTTTTCGTTTCGGGACGTTCATTAGTCTGAACTGGAATGATGATTTTTCAGTCGTTAAGAAAAGATAATCACAAGTACAGTAAATGAGTTCTGTGCGAGATGTATAGATGCAAATTACAGGTAATCAGAAAAAATTAGGAGATCTTATAATAACTTAAACGGCTATCGTTGGTTTTATATTAGGAATAATACCGATTTTAGTTTAGTTAGTTAAACGTCAAAGTTTATAGATATATGAGTATGTTCGGGTGGGCGAATTGGTGGCTGATCAAAATTATTAATTCGAAAACGCAGGCAATCTATTGCACTAAAAAACGTCGCGGTGCCCCATCAGAGATATCAGTTAATGGAACTCGTATGCCATGCGAATAATCTGTCTGGAGTCATCATTGACAGGGTTGACCTTGCAAAAAAACTCATACTTTGAAAAATAAATTCCAAATTACGTTTCGGCAGCTTTATCCTTTGTTGTGCAGCGATTCAAAATTAAGTTTAATCAATAAGATTCGGTTATACAAATTAGTTATGTGTGGACTTCCGTGGATATAAGTCTGGTGCGGTTTTAGTTACATCAGGGGTGCCCCAAGGTTCTGTTCTGGGTCCTCTATTATTTTTAATTTTTATCAATGATGTTACAACAGACTTGCATTGTGAGTACCTGCTATATGCCGATGACCTCCAAATCTTTAGTAGCGTGTGCTGCTTAGAAGACAGTTTAAGGTTACGGGCTGATCTGAAAGTCATTGATCACTGGTGTAAGGTAAATAACATGCACTTAGATGTCAATAAATGTACTACTATGACGTTTACACGCAGGGTGGAACCGACCTGTTTTAATTTTGAAATCGGTAGCAATGTTCTTTGTCGTGTTAATATCGTCAAGGATTTGGGCGTATTATTCGACCTAAACCTTTCTTTTATTGATCACATTAATGCAATAATAGCAAAAGCCTTTAAAAATCTTGGTTTTGTTATAAGAAACAGTAGACATTTCAATAATACCTACTAATACATTAATTTTACTTTTTAATGCTTTTGTCAGATCTATTTTAGAATACTGTTCGAGAGAATCCAACGTCGTTTTGTGAAATACTTATCATGTACTGTTTAGAGTTTTGTTTTTGTATCATTTTTTGTTTTTTCCCTGCCTGTTAATTGGATCACTCTGTTCAGGCAGTGTATGGATTATATAAAATAAATAAAACCCGCAATCACCTACGCAGGCGCGGCTTGGTGTTTTCTTGCCAAGATGCAAAACAGAACCATACGCACAATCACTAACAACCCTCTGTTCCTTGACTCAGTAGACTACACAGTCGAGCAAGTACACAAATATTCTAGTACCCACCTCGCCGTTTCATTCACCCATAAAAGTGGAATATACACGTACTATTTCACAGCTGTACTAATATTTGTTAACAAGTTACGATCGAAGAAAAAATCCACAATAAAATGCACAAAAATGCAGTTATGACGAAACAAAATTAAAAACAATGTTTTTTAGTCATCTCTATACACATGATAAGTGATCAGATGAAAAGATTTCAGAATACTGCTGCAAATAGGTATTTAAAAAAAGCGAAAAAAAAAAGAGACGTGCGATCTTAACTAAGAGCAAAGATCCACCCGACAGGTCTGACAAACAAACACGTGTGAGTGCGTTCGAATTTTTATGAAGCTCCTTATTTTCTGTGTGTCAGGACTTAGATAGTTCAAAGCAGAAGTTTATGTCGCATAGTGACGCACCATGCTGGGAGTTGAAAGGTGATATTTCATAGGAAAACCTAAACATAGCAAAAAAACATAAATAATGTAATAATCGATGTAATGTCATATATAAGTTACGGTGTCTAGTGACTCTTTGGATAACGGATATTTTTTGCTCAGCCTACACCATGCTGAGGAGTTGGCAAATAACACGAAACATCAATCCATGCTTTTCTGTCTGTGGAAGGACCAGCGAAAGAACTAGATTGCCTGAAGTTCTTTACGCGCCTTTTTCAAATTTCAATTTTTGTTACAGGTGCAGGCCTACCAGGTCCCAACCCTCCGCCGACAGGTTCAGAAGTACAGATTAGAAGCCGAAGAAGTTCGATTGGAGTGCCAAAAACTAGAAGAAACATTACTTCAGGAGAGGCTACAGCAGCTCGAAATCATCGAGCAAGAAAGAGTCAAATGTAGAAAAGACATTGCGGAAATTGTCGCAAAACACACACAGAAAATTCAAGAACGTAAGTGGTACTAGATCTGGCTATCATAGGGGGCAATTTTGTTATTCATTTTCCAAAATTCCCATTTTTGTGATTACTTCCACATTTGTCTCCATGCTGATAGCACCGTGTGAAAATTTCGGGTTAAAGTTGCATATTTTCTAAAATTCAATGTTTCTTTGTTATAGTAGAAGCAAAACGGGCCGAACTCGAGAGCCAAGCCGTCACAGAAAAAGAAAGACTGGTCCAAAATGTGCTCAAGCAGCACGAAGAACAGCTTTTGACTCTGAAACTAGAGTGCGAAAAGCTCCAAAGGACCCACGAGGAAGCCTTGGTCATTCTGAGAGAGGAAAATGACTCCATCAGGGAGCAGATTGACCAAAGAAGGATGGAAGCTGAACAGGCGGAAAGAGAATGCAAAGAAGTCAGAGAGGAGTACGAGAATAGGGAGGCTATGTGGAGGGAAAAGAACCACAAGCTCAAACAGCAGGTAAGATTTGAAGTAGCCCTGTAAAAGGCATGTTGTGACCTAGCTATGTACTGCCGTTCTGTTGTAATTATAAAGTTTTATATTTTTTGCAGATGAACAAGTTGCAAAATGACCATGAGGAAAAGCTGAAAAATTTAATAGATGAGAACAAAAGGCTGCGGGATGAAAATGCACGATTGTTAGGTTGTGGAGATGACGACAAGGGCATCGGATCACAGGTAAGATGGAGAGTTGTATAATCACAATCAATACAATCAATAAAGCATTATATATATATATACAGGGTGTCCGCAAAGTTGGGGTTTTCCTTTTCAGAAATAACTACCCTTGAAATAACAAAGGTAATGTGTAGTCAAACGAGGGCGACCAAGTAAAAAAAAATAAAGGAAAAAGTACTCACTCTCCAGTTGACGAGAAGGGCTAAGTACGTCTTTGCCCGAAATCATACCGCTCCAACAGAAAATGAAATCAGCTGATGCGCTACCGAGCAGACGCAGAAACCACATTGATTGTCTTACACTTAATGGCACATCTTCTAACAAGGAAGGCAAAATGTTGCGTAAAAAGTCTAGGTATTGCATCCCGTCCAATCGATTTGGGAGAATAAATGGTCCAATGAGCATACCGTTCACCATGCCAGCCCAAACATTCACCGAAAATGTTTGTTGAAAATGTGCCCGACGGACAGCGTGCGGATTTTCTACTGACCAAACATGAGTGTTGCGAAAGTTATTCACCCCATTACGCGTGAACGTAGATTCGTCTGTCACCAATATGCACTTCAAAAAGTCCGGATTATTGTCATGTTGATGCAACAACCTCTCACAAAACCGCACTCTTGCTGGAAAATCGTCAGGTTGAAGGGCTTGTACACGTTGGACGTTTGCCACACTTTAGTTTTTGATACTTGCACTTCTCTAGCCACGTCTCTAGTGCTTGTTGAGGGATTCTCGTCTACGCGATTACCTCTACACGCGTGACCGTAACCGTCGGTTGAAGGTTGCATACTGACCTGACACACTGACCCCGACCCAGTTCTGTCGTCGGGTTGAGACAGTGACCTTGTACCAGTCGGTGATGTCGCGGCTACAGGACGGTATTAAGATATTTTTGATGTTGCAGAGCCCTTTATGTCGGTTCCCTTAAGACATTGGTGTATATGGTACTAAGAAAAATTGCTTATGTTTTCAAGATCTACACGTCGTGTAAAGGAAAACCCCAACTTTGCGGACACCCTGTATATATATACCCTTTAATTTCTTTGGGTAGAAGGCAATGTATTGCAAAAGTATACTCTTATAACTCAAACTCTCAAGCTTTCGAAGATCTATGTCTCATCGTCTGGAGCTGGAAACAATTATTAACAATAGCAACAAATAACAATTAGGAGAAAAACATTTACTTACTAAGTCGGCGGGATTGTTGCGGTAATTGTTTTTAAACAACAGTGAAGGGAACACATAGTCGACGAATAGAAAACTGGACTGATGAGGTTCGATTTTATTCGTCGACTATGTGTTTCCTTCACTGTTGTTTAAAAACAATTTCAGCAACAATCTCGCCGACTTAGTAAGTAAATATTATTCTCCTAATTGTTATTTGTTGCTATTGTCAATAATTGTTTCCAGCTCCAGACGATGAAGACTTAGATCTTCGAAAGCTTGAGAGTTTAAATTATAAGAGAGTACTTTTGCAATATTTTGCCTTCCACCCAAAGAAAATAAAGGATATTTTCTCCTAACAGTTAAAGCAATTAACTATGAATACTATATATATATATACTTTGAAGTTGAGTCATTAATTTCCAGATAATGATTGTAGAAGGAAGATAAACCAAAATATGTGTGTAAAAATAAAAAAAAAATTAAAAAAAATGTTACCTTGTTTTATAAAATATCCTCCCGACAAGTATTTCAGTGCGGACCTGTATTTGATCGTGCGGTCTTGGAGCACATACCCTCCCGTGTGAGGACTTAAGTCACCTGATTCACGAGCCCTTTGTACTACATTAACAAAGGCACTAGGGGTTGGTTGCACTCGATTGGGAAACCGATCCGCATAAATCCGTGTTGCCGTAGCAGCATTTTGTAAAATCAGAATCATGTCCACAAGTTCAGCATTTTCGTAAACATGTGCCATTTTTTATTTCGTTTGAGCCACGCAGAAACACCACTCACGCGTTACCGACTGACACATCGAATGAATACAACTGAATAAAATAAATGAATAAAACATCGTGATAAGCGTTTCAAATTCTTTCGCTTTTTTGTTTCCGATTATATCCGTTGTCGCCAAACACGAGCACATATTATTATTGAGACAGGGCGGTACTCAAAATTCTAAAGGGCTATAACTTTGTTACTTTAATTTTACCACAAAAATGTTAAAGGAAAAAAACATTTCTTTTGATCAGATCTACTCAATGTTAAAATAAATGACTCAACTTCGAAGTCACCCTGTATATATATATATCACAGTCTTTAGATTTGAAAAACTAAATCTTGAAATATTTTTTCAACTTGCCTTATTTCACAAACAACAAGCTATATTACCAGGAGATCAGTTATTCATGAAAAGAAGGAATTATAATAATTAATAAACTTGATAAACAACATGAGAAAAACTGCCGGAGTCTCCTCCCATTCCAAAGTTAATTTTGTAACAAAATATTTAGTGAAACCTATAAGCATATTGTTATATACAGAGGTAAACAGACGTAAGTCCAAAAATCAAAGTTACTCATTGACCGACAATGGCTTACATTTTCTGCTAAAATAAAAAGCTGCAATAGTGTAATTTAATCAGCTCAAAATTGGATTACGTCACAATGCTATTCGACATAGATAAACCGATTGTCTAATGGTACCATGTGACGTATCCTTTATCCAATTCTTTCTTTCCAACTATACAATGATACAAAGGTTACCAATAGCTCTTTTACGTATTATTGAATTTAAAATGAAAAACTACTAAACGCATTTGCTTTATAGCATTATTTTTTGCAGGAAGTACAATCACTAAAGGTAGTGTTAGAATTAAAACAGAACGAATTAACCGAGCTTCGCAGAGCTCTGGCCGAAGCTAGTCACCGATGTGAAGAACTGACAGGAGCTGAAGAAAAGGCTAGGACTCTAAATGCTAGATGTGAAGATTTGCAGTTGCAGTTAGAGAGGAAATCAGAATATGTACAGTAAGTGTTTGTTCAACCAATCTAGTCAATCTGAACGTACAAACGTATTCCGGAGTTCGCAAAACAATTCAGATTTGCTTGATAATTCTACTCGCAAATCTAAAAAATGGGGTATTATACATTAATGGAAAATATTAAGGATTCAAATAAATCTTTTACATTCTGGCGTCAAAATGGTCCTAATGAGGTCTTTTGGATCAAAGAATTTTGGAAGCTGAAGGTTCCACGCAATCTTAGAGAAAAGTGTGAAGAAAAAACGTGAAATATTTTTTATACCCCTATTTAGGTCCATGGGTTTGGAAAAATATTTACTGTTATACCATTAGCACTTTCAAAAATTAATAAAAATCTACAATTTTTTTTAATCCTATAATTTCTCCATTAGTGTATATATTACTAAGTAAAATTGTTGATGTTTGATAGCTGAAATATAGTATGTACATCCATTTCCCAAATACCAAAAATATCGATATTCTGTAGAAATTGAAATTTTGGAAAATACCGATTCATTTTACATATTTTTGTGAGTAATGTTAAATTACTTCAATTAACTTTTTCAAAATCTTGATACGGCCATTTCTTGTTGAGAAAGGCCCCTTGGTCCTTGATCATCGATATCTCAAGAACCAATCATCGTACAGAAAATCTAAGCAGATAAATTATAGTTTTTTGGAAAACCTAGCATTAAATTGCAAATATTGACAAAATGACTAGTATTGAACATAAGTTTTACAACCCACAATATCTTTGTGAAATTTCACTTTAATCTACGCAGATTTGTTTCCTATTTTAAACAATCTATGTTTCGAAAAAAATTACGGATTACGTTTAGTGCTACTAAAAACGTGGAATCTGCAGCTTCAAAAATGGCTTCACCAACACTAAAACATCAAAAAACTCGTGATGTGAAGCTTTAGAATGCCTCTCTTAGAACATCAATACGGCCATTTTTTTTTCGAATGCTCGAAAAAATCACTAAACATTTACAATTTTTATTTGATCCCACTATAAAATTGGATTATTCATAGCTAAAATGCAATGTGTGCATCTATTTTTCAAAATTGCCCACATCTGGGAAGAAAATATATTTAAAGTTCACACATTGAAAAAGAACGTTTGAGCTCAGAAATACTTTCTAGAAAATATCGATATTCCGTAGAAATTAAAATTTTGGAAGTTACAGATTCATTTTACATATTCTTGTGAGTAATGTTACTAAATTGTCTGTTTGTTCTAGATCAATAATCCAAGAAAACAAAAGGCTACAAGAAATCTTGGCTGAGGAGCAAAATCAAAAGAGAAGGATGAGTCAATACAACGAAGAGCTGCAATGGAGGTTGAAACAGACCAAAGAAGTTATGACCGAAGTTGTACAACAAGCCGGTGATACTTCCTTCAATCGTTCAGTTTTCCATTCCAGGTAAACATCAGATGATTTTTATTAGTGCTGGTACAAGAGTGTCGTTCACGGTTATGAATCTATATCTTGACTTACGCTTAAAATCTGAGGAAGTCAGCATTTGACAGCATCGTTGCAATTGACATGTAGTATCCACTATCCATTGGAAATACAATTTTTAGAATAGTAAATTATATTTTCTTTCTAGCTTCAACGAGAGGCACTCTGCAACCAAACCAAACCTGGAGCGCAGGTTATCATTCAGAGAACGGGAGCGAACGTGTTCTGGCATGTCCAATATGAGCATGGATGAAAACTACCAGACATGCAACTCACTGACTGCATCCGAATTCATTCCCGATGACACGTCACTTCCGACCTCGCCGCAGGTCAAGGTAAATGAATAAACCTCAATCGACAGGATGATGACTGATAGATTTTTAAAAGAGCGAAAAAACAGCAGATCACTGTTTTTTTTTTGGTTTCGCGAACGATTTTATCGGAAAACGATACCGTTTCGGAAACTAGAAACTTTCATTTTCATTTAAGAATGTCTGAAACTACCGGGGTATGATTCGCGCATGCATGCGTGTTGCGATCAAAATGAATACATTTTGACGTACATATGTATTTAGAAGTTGGGTCATCATCAGAACATTCATCGGTTTAAAGACGTGTATTTATGGTAGAAAACCCTAAGTAGTGCGATAATTTTACATGAACGTAAATATGGATCCACCCTAAAGAGACCAGAAATCCACAATATGGCATATAGGTTTGTGTTTCAAGCAGTCTAGTATCAGAATAGTCCAATGAGCCACTAATTGAATTCTTGCCGCATCTTTGGGAAGGACTCTGTATATAACTAAACTAAGATAAGTTACAAATAAAAAGTGCCATGATGCTTACTACTCCATCTCCGTTTAATCAAATGATACCGCTTTTCTCTGATTTTGTTAGTTAAAAAGTATTTTTATCGAATTTGCTCACAACTACCTTAATCACATGAAGCCCAATTTCCAATAATGCACTAACGGACATGCACGAAGCCGAAAAAACGCAGAATCACTATTTTATTTTATTTGCGCCAAGCTGAACGTATAGGCAACCAGACTTTCGCAACCTCTTACTTCCATGCCATCATCGATGCGCATGGAAAATTAATCAGGGTTGCCAGATGTGGTGCGTTTCCACCAAATCTGGTGATTTTTACCCGTTTGTATCTATTACATATTTACAAAAGTTTATTCAATTTATCAAAAAGATTCGGAAGTCATAAATATTGGTGGTCAAACGATATTCGCCCATGACCCCCCTTGCTTTTACTAATGTACTGTCACTGATCATAGCGTTGTTTAATGTAGGTGATGGTGAAGAAATCGGACTCTGTGAGTTACGTGCTGGACCTAGAAGAAAGCCCTGCTGTAGTCGCTTCAAGGATCATCAGAAGGAGCTTCAGAAACTCGACGCCGCCCAAAAACACGCCTACAAAGTCGCCTTCGAATAAAAGGCCGAGGATCAGGAACCCTCTGAGCCAGAGTGCCTCGTATAGTGCTATCATCGGGAGGGACAAGTAAGTACTTTTTTCAATATGAGTAATATGATTTTACAATGCTGCGAAGAGCAAAGTCTCTTTTCGATCTTTGTTTCGTGTGCTTTCTTTTTGTTAGATATCGGCGATTGCAAATATGGTGTTTTTCCAGGCTTTGATCCTACACAACTCTGTTTCTATAAACCCCTGGCTCAGATATAGTTTATATCAAAGATTCTTAATAAAGAGAGACTTTAATATTGTCGAAAATGTTATTTTGCAACAAATACGTACAGTTGACAATGGCGTATTGTTGCCAGCAAAAAGTTGTAATGGAGATGCTTTGGAGGTCAAGCGTACTTAGAGGGTAGAAGAAAGGTAAATCTACCCCTGCTTAGCTTTTTCTTTCTGCGAATAATAACAATATCACCTACGCCTACCAAACCACAGTTTTCTGACACATCTGAACGACAATTTCTGCTTCCAAGAAGCTCAGCAAGGACGTCCACCACATAGGCGTCCACTCAGGGTAGTACCAAGTACTCACCGTACTACCAGTATTGGCTTACTATGCAAAAGTTGTATGAATTAAACACGGACTTGGATAGGATATGTTGCTTTCCATCTCCGCGTCCATAACCAACCATATACAACGTTGTTTCGTACTTTCTAACATTCATCAGTATTGAGATAGATGACGGAAAGCAGTCGAGTGAATACGGGTCTGTTGGAAATAATTTTTCGCACGCCACAATATTGTATTTTTCACTATGCCCATATCCGCTTTTGCTTGCCTTTCGTCATCTGTCTCCGAATGACTAGACCGTACTGATGGTTGCTAAAAATCATGAAACGACGTTATAGTCGCAGAGATGGGAAACTAACAGATCTTTTCAGTCTGACTCTTTTTCTGTTAACGAACTTTGCAAGAGACGTGCGTTTTTGGGTTAGGTAGGATTTTATTGGATCTGGGTTTGTAGACGTACCGACGCATCGCTAAGCTATTACTACATTTTTCCCTATACGTAGTGCGTAAATCATTCATTACTAAACAGGAAAATCTCTATCATCGTCTCATGAAGGAGGATGGTAACTATTTAGGATAAATTTATTATAAATTGTTTTTTGTGAAGCTCATTATATGTACTACTCTAAAACATATTGCCACATTTACTAAATACTAGTTGTTCCTATTTACAGACGTCCAACTAGAGGTATCACCACAAAATCTCAAGCATCAAGAAGTATTGCCAAGAAATAAATAAGACTGACGATTACAATTACTGTTACGTATCCCATGGATTACAATATTTCTTTATTGTGCTAGATTTAGGTATTGACTTTTTATAAAATATTGCTTTTTCCGCAATATGCATTGCATTGTGAAATGAATAAAATAGTTACGGTGTATCCTATGGATTACAATATTGTAGACTTATTTTTTCAACTCTTCCAATGAACGTTAACCCATATTGTATTAAAATATACATTATTGTATTTTATAACAACTTTTATGAATTGCGATAACTAAATTTTCTAAGAAATAAAATATATTGTTAAATTGTATCTTTTACAACCGATTTCAAAATTCTAATAAATATTGATTTTTGTATAAAGATATTTTTTTAAACCCAACCCTCGTTCCGTCTGCCAAAACATATTATTAACCTTTATTCGAAAACAAATCTACAAAGTACAGGCACAAATTATCGAACCATCAATTATGCATAATTTAAAACGATGAGCGTAGTTTAAAGACGTAGTCCGGAAAAAAATGAAACTAAACTTCAGTTACACTCTTATATTCTTAATAAACCAAAACTCTCCCCAAGTTGCCAGTGATTTGATGTAGCATGTTCCAAAAATGCCCACCCAAAAACAGCTGAGATGCTTATCCTGATCATTTGCAAAACCATAACCATAGCCATTGTCAGACCCAATCTGACAACCGTAATCCTCGAACTCGAATAGTTTTGAGAGAGCCAAGCCTATATGCTTATACTGCATTATTTGTCGCCAAAATTGCGTAAACTTAGTGCATTCTTTGATTCATTTGACTACCTGTCGGTGGAAAAATCTAACTTCATTGGCCTTGTGCTGCTCTTCACAGATTATGCAAGAAGTGTCGTCCACACTTATCTGCAAACACTCGCACTTTCAAAAAAGAACACTGAAAATACGAATTCAATGACAGAACTGTCAACAAATTGACTTATGTCAAGTCCACTGGTAGTATGCACCTTCATCCCGACTACAGACTGAGACTTTGGAGACAAACAAATCGTAGGATTGCTCGTTCTAACTGGTTGAATTCATTGAAAAGTGCTTCTTAGCCCTAAATAAATAGCCTAGCTTTTTCCCAGCAGCTGCCGCTATTGACCAGATGTGTTCGTACCAGATCAAGTCCTCGGTGATCTGGACTCCGACCATCCGAAATGAACGGCTCTTTGGTCAAGGTACAGAACAGTATTTTGGAAGCATTAAACTGTATATGCGTCCTGTTGACCGTTCAGGAAAGGATGCCGTTAATATGTAAAAGGAACAGTGTCGGAGCCAACACTGACACCTGAGGAACACCCGCGTCGACGCTCTGAGATGAAGAGGAGAACCCGTCCATTACGACGGTTCCTTTCAATCTGCTTGACCAGCGTCCAGAAAGGCCGACTGCCATTGTCTGCGACATTACCCTGTGCTTAATTTTTGGCATTGCGGACCGCTCCGTTATATTTGTTTCTTCACTCGACGTCGGCATGTCTATTCTCTACAGTAGAGTTTTGTAAGAAGGTTATAGGTGCTTTGACGAGCACGATTTTTCTGGAAGATCTCACTTACATTTAAGTTAAAATACACACTACCTTCTGTTTCGTAAGATGTTCTTCTGGACTAGGCTAACTTCAAGATTTTGTATGCTTCAAAATATCACGGAACACATAACTTTCTTTCCTTCACTCATGTCTTCTGTTACAGAAACGAGATGAACAGGCCACACTCAGCTGACGCGCGAAACGGTGACATGAGAACGGAAGAGGATGACGTCTTCATTTGGACTCGTACACCAGCTTCGCCGTCTATGTTGACAGATGACAGCCCGACTCATGCTAACATGAAGCTAGGCCATTTAGATCTGGACGAAGATAATATATATGATATTCAACTGCCAGCCTTACCTAGCGAAATGGGAAATGGTATGTGATTGGACATTCACCCATTAAAATGGCAAAATATGAGCTTATTAAAATTCTCTATCCACAAAAATTATTCAGCTACGACTACTAAAGATTTTTAATCCCACAACTTCCTTCCTTTCACCTTGTTTTATAACATTACGTCAATGCTCCGAGGAGTATTGCTCACTTAAGAGAAAATACCCCAAGGATGGAAGTTTTCTTAAGAGAGCAGCGTGCCACAGCTGATCGAATGCTTTCGTGATGTCAAGAGCAACGACATGAGCCTCACGATAAGACTGGATGAGTTTACTCCACAATTGCGTGACGTAAGCTAGGAGGTCCCCTGTGGATCGCTGGCTACGGAAACCATACTGCCTGTCGCTAATCAAGCTGTGACGTTCGAGGTCTCTCTCTATCACCTTACTAACAGAAATCAGAGCTATAAGCCTGTAGTTGTAAGAGTCGGTCTTAGATACTTTTTTGGGATTGGCTGGACATGAGCACATTTTCAGTTTTCTGGGAAGGTGCCGGATTCATAAGATATCTGGAAGAGACGCGAAAGAACTGGAGCACGCTCCGATGCACACCTCTTCAATACAATAGCAGGAGTCAGGTTCGGACCAGAAGCTTTGTAGATGTCGAGCGACAAGGGCACCCGTCTTACGGTCTTATGCCTGAATTTTACTTCCCGCATAGTGTAGGGAACCCTTTGAATCGACGGACTTGCGCACTGGAAGGGGGGGGACGTCCATGGTGGAGTTAGCAGCAAAGATCTTGGTAAGCACTTCCGGCTTGGCCTTTGAGTCTATTACAATCGTTTCATCCTGACACGTAAGTGGTGAAAGCTATTGTGCGAGAAGTTCCTTTCAGTCTGCTTGGCCAGCGTCCAAAAAAGACTGGACTCGATGCCGCCTTGTATGTTCTTTACAGTTGGGGTTTGTAAGAAGGTTCTATGTGTCTTGATCTTCTGCTGGCGAGCAGTTCCACATGATTTGTTGAACCAGCCGTTGGACCCTGGTTTAGGCACTTTCATTGCATGAGGGATGTATTCCTCCATCCCGACGTGGATAATTTCTGTTATCGAAGAACAGACAGCCGACGCGTTCGCGTCAGCGAAACAAACATCTCTCCTAGGAAAGGTGAAGACGAAGTCTCTGAGCCCCTCGCAGTCGGCATATCCGTAATGCCAAACTTTGCAGCCGGGGCGAGTTTCTGCTGCCACAGCTGGTTCTGATCAAAACCTAACTAACCCTACTGGCATGTGACGAGACCCGGGGGAAAAAGTAGGGTTCGGCACCAGCTGGATCAGCCCCTGAGTAAGAGCGAACGTTTCAACTGCACGACCTGCTGCATCGGTCTTGTTTGAGCCCAACCAAAGCTCATTATGTGTAATCACCGAGGAGTCCTACCTCTGAAGCGGAGTGATTGATGTTCAGGAAGTCGATCTTGACGGCGAGGTATTCAAGTAAGTCATTCCAGTTTTGATCCGAGGGAGAGCGATAATATGCAGAGAAATCCATATGCAACTGGCGTCATAATGTGTACGAGAGAGTAACGCGAGAAGTGTGCAATACGTATGCTAGAAAGAGAAAGAAGCACCACGTTACCTGGCAACCCGAGTGATGACGACACGGGCGCAGCTACGGCTTACCGCGTTGCCATTGGCGCACTCTTTCTATCACATGTATTGCACGCTTCTCGTGCTTCTCTCTCGTACACATTACCTCGTCAGTGATATTTGGATTTCTCTGTATATCTATCGATTTTTTTTCCACCTGCTATACTAAACTGTTACACTTCAGACGTACATTTCCAGCTGGACCTTTTTCTGTTAAAATGTGGAGAGGTCAATCCAAAACGCGTCGTTTTCATTGTTTACTTCCCACACCACTGGCAGGGGAATATAGTAGTCGCGTTAAATTTTGAAAATTCCCTTCGGTCTGTCTGTCCGCTAATCCTTGACCCGTCTATAACTTGAAAGGTACACAAGATTACTAGTACTAGTTTTTGAACATCGCTAGGGGCAAACAAACGGAAAAAACTAAAATCGCTCAAACTTCGGTTTCTAACGCTTCAAAGACCTCTGAACATTTTTAAAATTATTTGAGGTGTGAAAAAGTTGGATGCAGAGTGTGGAAGAGGGTATAGCTCAATTTTCTAACATTAGTATTCTGATACGCTTCTAACTCGGGCAATTCCGCGATGCCTGTTGGTCATTTGAACACATACATTTTCCCGTACATTTGTGCTTAAGATTTACGGAAAGAATATTAAAATACAAGCATTTATGCCGTTAAAAAGGTAGGGCTGACGTTGCGCTGGTGGTTTAGTCATCCCACACGTTCCCGTTACTGCTTAGTGGTAATGGATGGGGAATAATAGCCTGGTTAAATTAGGGCAAAATTTTAAGTGATTCATGCAGAGCTTCATGTGAAAAGTATGACTAGATACGAGGGATGTCTTTTAAGTTTTTCATATGGAAATAAAACAACACGGTAGGTGGTTTTAGATGACTTTATTGTTTTTCGAAGTATTCTCCATGAAGATTAATACACACCTGCATGCGTTCGAACCAATTTTCGAAGCACTTATTCCACTGGTTTGCTGGCAGATCCAAAACGGCATTTTTGAATGCGTCAACTGCCACTTCTGGTGACTGCAACCTTTGACCACGCAATTTGTTTTTAATTTTCGGGAAAGTAAATAAATCGTTAGGAGTTAGATCGGGACTATATGGAGGATGGTCCAATAATTCCACGTCTTCTTCCGTTAAATACTGCCTTGTTTTTTGGGCTGTGTGCGAGCTTGCATTGGTGGGGGATGATTCTTCTTTCGGGGTTGATTTTTCGAAGCTCGGTGATGACCTTTGGCAAACAAATGGTGGTATACCAATCCGCAGTAACAGTTCTTTGCTCATTAAGAGGAATTATTGCAATATAACCCGCTCTTGACACACTTCGAGAACGGATGACTTTTGTTGGCTTTTATTTACCTTGGAACACCCAAACAGCCGACTGTCGTTTATTTTCTGGTTCATAATAGTAAATCCACGATTCATCACCACTAACAATGCTGTATACATTTTTTGAGTTTCCGGAATTGAAACAGTCAAGCGTTTTTTGACACCAATTAACCCTGGCTGCTTTCTGCTCTTCAGTCAACAGGTGGGGTATCCAACGAGAAACTAATTTTCTTACTCCTAATTCTTTATGTAAAATTTTTAGAATTGAGGTCTTTGAGATCTTCAAGCACGCCTCAATCTCGCGATATGTCACATGTCTATCTTCAATTATGAGTTTGCGCATAGCATCGACGATTCCCTGGGTGACTGCCGTTTGAATTCTCCATACCAACGGGAAATTATCGACTGATGCGGCGATTCGTTGCCGAAAACAGACATTAACTCAGCAAGGCATTCTTGTTGCGATAATTGTCTCTGAAAGTTGTAATGAATTATGGCGCGAAGATGTTCTCGGTCGAGTTCCATTTTTCTAATGACTTGGTGACACTTAAAAATTCACTGCACGTATTGTTGTGAAACTTTGAATTTAAGTTTACTAAAGAGTGAGGTTCAGATTCAGTACTGACGTTCAATCCGCGCGGCCTACTATGTTTCTATATGCAAAACTTAAAGGACATCCCTCGTATTTATTAGACTAATGTTTCGGTATGCTTGCATTAATTTTTATCAGCTTAAACATTTGTTGAGAAATTCTTGTCTAAATAGAAATTTAGAAAATCCCGTAAAAAGATAACACCTTAAAATGATATTGTAGCGTTTTTCTGGGTTCTTTTGGGTGTGGATTAAAACTCTGGATTCCACAAAAAGAAATGCACTAATTTAACTTAATAAAACATTTATATACACCACTACTTACGTCTGACTAATTCTTATGTCACCATTTACTGTACTATACTTCACTCCGCTCTGCTACTCTACCGTGTTCCGTACTCTGCCTCCATCTCCCGGCCGCCGAGTTATACAGGGTGTTTCAGTTTATTGTTGCATAACTTTAAGATTCGATAGAACTTTTAAAATTAATGCATAAAGTCTATATAAACATGTGTCGAAAAATGCGTGGCTTCCGAAATACAGGGTGTTTAAATTTACTTTCTAAAATAGTTTTTTTTAAATATTTCGAACAATATTTGATGTATAACAGTGAAAATTGGTATACAAGGGTTTTTTGGTACGACAAAACGAACCATGGGCATAGTTTTACTGTAGCCGCTAGAGGGCGCTCTCTACTGTATCTGTAAGTGTATTAAAATGAATGAATGAAATTTTTTTCTTAGTGCAATTTTTTGCTTTTTGAATAAAAAAACTGATTCTTCGCACTTTTCAACATAAAAAAGCTCTCCTGTGAGTTTTCGTTATAGTTAGCCGTTTTTGAGATATTTCGATTTTTAAGGTTCGATGCATTTTTAATTATTTATGGGAAAATAATATTTTTTTTACATTTTCGATTTGGGCATTACAAGTAATTAAGATGATCGTTTAGATTGTGTTTTTAAACACAGCAATAATTCCTAACTCCAAATAAACACAAAAAAACAGAATATTAATTTGTTTAATTTTCCAATATTATTTTTAACAAATTAAATTAATTATTTACAACTAAAATGCTATTGGCTAGTTAGGACAAACATACAAAATCTAAAGTAGTTGCTCGAAATGTAAACCCAATTGTTCAATACACAATTCACATCTACGAATGATCGAACGTGGTATAGCATTATTCAAATAAGGCCTTATTTCATCACATGTATTCCTGATTCTGTCATTTTCGTCCAGCCAGTTTCTAACTATTCTCGAAGCTGGACAACCGTCAAGCTGGAACCAGGCCAATCTTCTTAAATCTAACATAACATCATCCCACATATTTGCATGTTCAGCCTTTACAAATTCCAAGAAGGTCGCAGCATTAAACCTTGCAGGCAAAGGTAGGGTCCAAATAGTCGATTACGGTAGATACCAATCCACACGTTCACACTAAATTCATGCTGAAAATTTCTTTCCCGAACTGCATGCGGATTTTCATGCGACCAAATATGTTGATTATGAAAATTTACCACTCCACGTCTAGTGAAGCATGACTCATCGGTCCATAAAACGTTACTTAAAAACTCCCTATTATTATCAGTTCTATCAAGAATCCACTGACAAAATGTGATTCTTCGTTCTCTGTCCCCTGGCTGTAGTCCTTGCACAGGTTGCAAATGGTAAGGACGTCTATGGTCATTTCTAAGAACACGGTGAACATGACTTGCTGAAATTCCCAAGGCACCAGAAGCTCTCCTAACACCTGTGGTCGGATCTCTATCAAACTCACGCAGAATCATATGGGTAAATCTGCGCTGACGAACATTTATGTTTTGATCCCTTTGGAGATTTCCAAAACCATTTTCAATTATTTGGCGATGCACTCTTACAAATACTGAGCGAGTTGGATGTCGTCTGTTTGGAAATCTTCGTGCGTATTCTCTGGCAAAATGAATATCCGCTAACTCTTGATTGGAGAATAAAAATGGCATTCTTATAAAACTTACAAAAAAAAAACAGGTAAAAGAAACTAAATTTCATGCATTCACAATTGCAAAAAAACGTTTCAGGTTTCAACAGACAACAAAACTAACTGTCAACTAATTGACGTTTAACCTTATTCTGCTTTCAATTTCAATAATATTTGAAGGTGCAGCCTACTTCTAAAAATTATCGAGATACTGACTTTTTAACGTTATTTTATCATAAATGCTTCGAACCTTAAAAATCGAAATATCTCAAAAACGGCTAACTATAACGAAAATTCACAAGAGAGCTTCTTTATGTTGAAAAGTGCGAAGAATCAGTTTTTTTATTCAAAAAGCAAAAAATTGCTCTAAAATACACTACAGGTACAGTAGAGAGCGGCCTCTAGCGGCTACAGTAAAACTATGCCCATGGTTCGTTTTGTCGTACCAAAAAACACTTGTATACCAATTTTCACTGTTATACATCAAATATTGTTCGAAATATTTAAAAAAAACTATTTTAGAAAGTAAATTTAAACACCCTGTATTTCGGAAGCCACGCATTTTTCGACCCATGTTTATATAGACTATGCATTAATCTTGAGAGTTCTATCGAATCTCAAAGTTATGCAACAATAAACTGAAACACCCTGTATATAGTCCCCATTACAGCTTCGAGAAAAAAACCGGGTGTACCACAAAGCGACATCTAGTATCTTGGAGATCACTTTGCGTCGATCTAGAAGGCGATCCACCGTCACGATCCTCACAGACGCCGCTAGGCGGCTTGTGCGCAATTTAAAAACAGAAATATTAAATCGTTCAACTTCTGCGTTAGTCCAGTTGAATGTTAACATAAAATGTTATTTTTATGTTGCTCTATTATCAACTCAGAAGTTGTTCCTAAAGCTTATCAGAATATTAAAAATTCAAACCACATATTTTTCATCTTCTTTAGGAGCACAAGCCCTACCGACGCCGAAACACCTAGCAGGCAAAGCCATGGTTTCGGAGAGCAACTCCGAAGACGAGAGCACCAGTTCGTCGCAGTTGTGAGATGAGCTGTTTTAATTTTTTAAAACGTGATAATAGTGCTAATACGATATTTATGTAATGATATGAACAAAACTCATGACTTTGCGGTTTATGCTGCTTGTTATGGAACTTACTATGGTGTAACCTTATACATGTAACTTCAGTTGCACACTGACTGTAAAGATGTCTTACTTGATTGTAACAGACTTTGTCAAAATACGAGAATAAACTATTTTGATTGGTATTGTTGGTCGCTGAGATTTGACCTATATGTTAACGTCGACTTTTTAAGATTTAAACCTCAGTTTCAAATGTATGATATGAGCGTCGATTCATGACTATTGACTTGGATCTTGATCATGTAGATTATGTTATACTTGATGAGGTTCGTGTCAAATTTTGTGTCATGTTGACGCTATATGTCAAAAAACATTTACGATTACTACTTTCTATGAAAGCAATCTTCGAAAGGCTGAACTTTTGCACATTTTTGTTTCATAAATCGTACATCAGCTCTTCATAAAGGTATGTTACTATAAATGACTCGTTTAGTTTTCATAGTTCTTACATTATTGTTGACTATGGTATAATAGCACAGTATAGCTCTTCTCAAATGCGACAAACGCTTACGGTTCTAGCATGATAATAGAATGAAGATGAGATAGGTACGAGTTGTTCTAGGATTTTGAAATTTCATAGATCTTAAGGAATTTGGAAAATGTTAGAATTCCACTTGAATTTTATATCCTTGACTGCGTTGATACAGAATGAACCAAAATGACTTTTGTTATTTTTTTCTAAATGTTTATTTGACTAAATAATTTGGATAAACAATGTCTGAGGATACTGCATTCAAAAAGTCGACGTAATGTTAGAGCATATAGTTCAAGTCTCTAACTTTTCTCATTATTGAATTTGTCTTTGGCATAATGGAGGTATACCGCCTATGATGTCGAACTTTTATTTATATAACATATATCTTTTTTAGCAAAGCGGTTGCTTTTTTATATAGAGATGTAAAACGTGTTTCTAAAGTCAAACTAACTTCATCAAAAGTTGTTCTGCTACAACTGTATGTAAAACGTTTCACTTTTAAATAAGATGGTAGTGACGATATAATCTACATATTTTGAGTACATAGTACCGATAGGCAAAGGCAGATCAAAATATACGCATAAACTAGTGACAAAAGAGGTTTTGCTCTACGGAAAAAAATATTAGAAATGTTCGTCAGGACGCTTATTTAAAATGTCTCGTTTTATGTCATTCTTTATTTAGCCATTAGACATACGTCGTATACATGTAGATATTTATACTTAAAACCGATTTTTTATGGGTTGTGATTTTTGTAATTAATGATTATATTTATTCCCTATTCTCCAGTATTAATTATTATTGAATGCAAAAGGTGAAGTCGTGTCTTCAGTACAATTCTGCTAATATTTTGTATATTTTTATGTATATGATGTTACTTTTCTGTTATTTTGAGTGTTTAACGATGTATGTTTATTTTGTGTCAATGATGGATATATTAAAATTGTTAGGACCAAAATAGATTCCACATTTCATATTTATTATATGAACAGTTTCGAAATGTTTCCTTATTATGATGTTAATACTTGCAACAATAAATTTATAGAATTAATCATGTTGTTTTGCCATCCCCAAACCCCTAACATATACAGGGTGACTTTGAAGTTGAGTCATTAATTTTCAGATAATGATTGTAGAAGGAAGATAAACCAAAATATGTGTGTAAAAATAAAAAAAAATTAAAAAAAAAATGTTACCTTGTTTTATAAAGTATCCTCCTGACAAGTATTTCAGTGCGGACCTGTATTTGATCGTGAGGTCCCCTGTGAGGTCTTAAGTCACCTGATTCACGAGCCCGTTGTACTACATTAACAAAGGCACGAGGGGTTGGTTGCACTCGATTGGGAAACCGATCCGCATAAACATGTGCCATTTTTTATTTCGTTTGAGCCACGCAACAGATACCACTATTCACTGACACTGACTGTATACAAATGAATGAAATAATTGTAAAAAGCATCGTCCCAAATTCTTTCGCTTTTTTGTTTCCGATGCGATGAACCGATACGGCGGATTATATCCGTTGTCGCCAAACACGACCACATAATATTATTATTGAGACAGGGCGGTACTCAAACTTCCAAAGGGCTATAACTTTGTTACTTTAATTTTACCAGGAAAATGGTAAAGGAAAAAAACATTTCTTTTGATCAGATCTACTCACTGTTAAAATAAATGACTCAACTTCGAAGTCACCCTGTATACAGGGTGTAAACGTTATGGTAGTCATTATTGAAATGGGTAATAGGGGCGGTCAAAACAAGTCAAGAAGTTCATATGACCCATGGTCCAAAAGTCAATAGGTTTTTGTCTAAATAACTTTATAGTTTACAACTTTAAGGGTGGATTTCACAATTTAACAAACCATGATTCTGCACCAATAGGGTACGAGTACCAAACAGTCCTTTAAATATACCCAATCAGCCTCAAGATCTCTCCGTCAAATTTTTGCCAGCAAATAGCATCAAAGTATTCAAAACAAAACACTGTAAAATATGAAGTGACAGCTAGCCATTGAAATCTTTTCAGTTTATTAAATATTATGAAATTATGTAAAACTGAGCCAAACTTTTTAAAAATGCTTGATGTCTGAGTAAAATCTATTTTTTCAGATTAGCTGAAGGTTTTTCCATGTTTACTGCAACTTTTGTAATCCATATGTGATTAGATCACCTACTGTGCGCTTATAGTTTATCCTATATTTGCAAACTTGCACTTCCAAACCCTTACATGAAAAAGCCTTTTCACTCAAATTTTTGTTAGGTGTTGCATTTCAACACATTCATACACTTCTTTCCAGTTCCTCAACGATATTTTAACCCCACTGGTCCAAAACTGTTCAAGAGTTTCAACATTCATACATACAATTGCAGTTGCAGTTTTTTGTTTTAATTTCAGTGTATAATCAGTCGCACCATCGGTGATGGTACATTCAACATAACCACGTATTTAGGGGTTCGTGCAGATTTAACGTGTACACGACGTCATGATTAGGCGCTCCTCAGGCGATGTCCGATTGCGTTCAGGTGCCTTCTGCAGGTACCTCTTCACCACGGTCAGGAGTTGATACCAGCGCGGCTCTCGTTTTTTTTTTGCTCTAGGCATGGCCATCCTCAATTAATCGCACAAAAACAAAGTCCTGTATATACAGGGTGACTTCGAAGTTGAGTCATTTATCTGATCAAAAAAAATGTTTTTTTCCTTTAACATTTTTCTGGTAAAATTAAAGTAACAAAGTTATAACCCTTTAGAAGTTTGAGTACCGCCCTGACTCAATAATAATATTATGTGCTCGTGTTTGGCAACAACGGATATAATCCGCCACATCGGTTCATCGCATCGGAAACAAAAAAGCGAAAGCATTTTAAACGCTTATCACGATGTTTTTAGTTGTATTCAGTCAATGTGTCAGTCGGTAACGCGTGAGTGAATAGTGGTGTTGCGTGGCGCAAACGAAATAAAAAATGGCACATGTTTACGAAAATGGTGAACTTGTGGACATGATTCTTATTTACGGGAGGGGGGAGTCTTTACAAAATGCTGCCGCGGCATCACGGATTTATGCGGATCGGTTTCCCAATCGAGTGCAACCAACCCCTCGTGCCTTTGTTAATGTAGTACAAAGGGCTCGTGAATCAGGTGACTTAAGACCTCACAGGGGAGGGCATGCCGGTGCTCCAAGACCGCACGATCAAATACAGGTCCGCACTGGATACTTTATAAAACAAGGTAACATTTTTTTTTTATTTTTACACACATATTTTGGTTTATCTTCCTTCTACAATCATTATCTGAAAATTAATGACTCAACTTCAAAGTCACCCTGTATATATACTTCTAATCAAAGGCTGACCACAAGGACCACTTCTGTATTTTTCAGGTATTGGTATATGGGATAGTATGCCATAAAACGCGCTAATTGTGTTCATATTAGAGCCAAAGAATCTCAAAGATCTGCAAGTGTATCAAAATTTTACTGTATTCACAATATATTTTCTAATAATGTATACATTTTCCTTGTATGTTTCTATACTGCCATTCTGCCGCACCCCAACCTTTGACGCCGTTCACAGTAACGGTGCACAGATTTTCGAGGATTTTAGCTTCCCAATCTTTACTTATGAAAAACTGTGGAGTGTCCTTGACGTTGACTTGAACTGCGTACGTTTCTCCACCTGCAACCATGATCTACGAATAGAATAATACCCTCTCCACACTCACGCGCGGATCACGGCGTGAAGTCGCGGCGCGGAGCGCGGTGCGAATCCCGAAATTTGTTGCTACACTTCCATACTCGGAGATGTTCGCGCATGCTTCACAGTATAGTTCGCGCTCTTGACGAGTATGGATGGTGAAATTGCTACTGCTGCTGCAGGGCTACTTTGCGCTTTGGCAATTTATAACTACGCATATACAGGGTGTCCGCAAAGTTGGGGTTTCCTTTACACGACGTGTAGATCTTGAAAACATAAGCAATTTTTCTTAGTACCATATACACCAATGTCTTAAGGGAACCGAGATAAAGGGCTGTGCAACATCAAAAATATCTGAATACCGTCCTGTAGCCGCGACATCCCCGAGTGGTACTAGGACACTAGCTCAACCCGACGACAGAACTGGGTCGGGGTCAGTGTGTCAGGTCAGTATGCAACCTTCAACCGACGGTTACGGTCACGCGTGTAGAGGTAATCGCGTAGACGAGAATCCCTCAACAAGCACTAGAGACGTGGCTAGACAAGTGCAAGTATCAAAAACTAAAGTGTGGCAAACGCTGCGTGAAGAGGGGCTGTATCCGTTTCACGTCCAACGTGTACAAGCCCTTCAACCTGACGATTTTCCAGCAAGAGTGCGGTTTTGTGAGTGGTTGTTGCATCAACATGACAATAATCCGGACTTTTTTAAGTGCATATTGGTGACAGACGAATCTACGTTCACGCGTAATGGGCTGAATAACTTTCGCAACACTCATGTTTGGTCAGTAGAAAATCCGCACGCTGTCCGTCGGGCACATTTTCAACAAACATTTTCGGTGAATGTTTGGGCTGGCATGGTGAACGGTATGCTCATTGGACCATTTATTCTCCCAAATCGATTGGGCGGGATGCAATACCTAGACTTTTTACGCAACATTTTGCCTTCCTTGTTTGCCTGCGTCTGCTCGGTAGCGCATCAGCTGATTTCATTTTCCGTTGGAGCGGTATGATTTCGGGCAGGGACGTACTTAGCCCTTCAGTCAACTGGAGAGTGAGTACTTTTTCCTTTATTTTTTTTTTTACTTGGTCGCCCTCGTTTCACTACACATTACCTTTGTTATTTCAAGGGTAGTTGTTTCTGAAAAGGAAAACTCCAACTTTGCGGACACCCTGTATAAGTTAAACTAAAGCAACTGAAAAGAAGTGGAAAAAACACAACCATTCCAGGTACTCGCTATGTGGCAACTGAAACACCAGCGAATGAGGAGCCTAGTCGTGTTCGCGCCTTGCGAACCCTTTGTCGCCGGACAAAAAACCGACAACAAACGGGAACAACGCGCGAACGCGACATGAAGCGGCGAAGAATACGCGAATGAGATCCACACTCATGGGTCGCGGGTAGTTCGCGGCCTCGCGCGAGTCTGGAGAGGGCATAACATTTACGCATGATGAAATATAACTAACCTGCCTTAGCTGTAAATGCATAATCTTTAGGCGGATTTCCAAATGCACCATGTTGATACAATTCTAAGTCACATTCTGTGACCGGGTACAGTTTCCGTTGTTTCTTGGAATACACATATCCCACCGTCAACCTACATCAAATAGTCAAATTAAAGATTTAAATAAGCTTTTACCTAAATGGCTAAAAACATATTTCTGAATTATAATATTATAAGATCATTGCCGACCAATTCACACTTCAAATAAGACAAGCAAAAGCAGAATCGGCACGGGTAGTACGTATCTTGAAATGTGGCATTTCATTTCGTTCGGCTTTTTCACATTTATACAGGGTGACTTCGAAGTTGAGTCATTTATTTTAACAGTGAGTCGATCTGATCAAAAGAAATGTTTTTTTCTTTACCATTTTTCTGGTAAAATTAAAGTAACAAAGTTATAGCCCTTTGGAAGTTTGAGTACCGCCCTGTCTCAATAATAATATTATGTGCTCGTGTTTGGCGACAACGGATATAATCCGCCTTATCGGTTCATCGCATCGGAAACAAAAAAGCGAAAGAATTTGGAACGATGTTTTTACAATTATTTTGTTCAGTTGTATACAGTCAGTGTCAGTCGGTAACGCGTGAGTGAATAGTGGTGTCTGTTGCGTGGCTCAAACGAAATAAAAAATGGCACATGTTTATGCGGATCGGTTTCCCAATCGAGTGCAACCAACCCCTCGTGCCTTTGTTAATGTAGTACAACGGGCTCGTGAATCAGGTGACTTAAGACCTCACAGGGGACGGCATGCCGGTGCTCCAAGACCTCACGATCAAATACAGGTCCGCACTGAAATACTTGTCGGGAGGATACTTTATAAAACAAGGTAAACATTTTTTTTTTATTTTTTTTTTATTTTTACACACATATTTTGGTTTATCTTCCTTCTACAATCATTATCTGAAAATTAATGACTCAACTTCAAAGTAGGGTGTTCCTTAATGATATACGAATATTTAAGGGTGTGAATTTACATGAAAAATTAATGTTAGTTTGCTTAATAAACTATGGTCCAAAAACGTTTCCTTACAAAATCTCGGAGTGTTGAAGTTTTAGGAAAAAAATGGAAATTAATATTTTCAGAACCGCTTCAGATATTTCACAGATATTTAGTACGTAGTGGAAGTTAATAGATTTGCATATTTTTCAATCCAAAAATAATTTTTTGCTTTAACAGTGGCGTGCGTAGGGGTATTGACTTCAATATTTTTTAAGAAAAAATTGGTACGCCAAAATATCGAAGTCAATACCCGTACGCACGCCACTGTTAAAGCTAAAAATTATTTTGGCATTGAAAAATATGCAGCTTTATTAACTTCCATTACGTACTAACTATCAGAGAAATATTTGAAACGGTTCTGAAAATATTAATTAATTTCCATTTTTTTCCTAAAACTTCAACACCCCGAGCTTTTGTAAGGAAACATTTTTGGACCATAGTTTATAAAGAAAATTAACATCAATTTTTCATGTAGATTCACACCCTTAAATATTCGCATATCATTAAGGAACACCCTGTATACAGAAGCAGCCGCGCAGGCAGAAGTCTAAATGCCGGAACACCGCGGCGGCTATGATGATCCCAAAGAAATTTTGTTAATTTTTGAACTGCCTATGGTTAGTAGAACTAGGAAAAGCTTCCTCTTGTCGACAAAGGAGCGGTCGTATCGGCCAGTTCTGGATCTACGAAGTTCGACACGGTTAGGATCGGACGCCAAAGTCAGGCGGGTCTGTCTGGCAGGCACATCGCGCGGCGGCATCATGGAATAGAGCTCTGAGGAGCAAAGCCCGTTAGTGTAGCGGTAGAAAAGAGCTAGAACGCCGACGGCCCGCCGGTGTGAAAGGGTCCCGAGACTGTCTGTTAGAGAAGAGTCATCTATCAGTCGGACCGCCCTCCTCTGGACAGCATCGAGCATAAATAATGTAGTAGGGACGGCAGCACCCCAAACGTGTAAGCAATACTCGAAGCTTCGCCTTATCTGGGCCTTGTATAGAGTGAGAAGGTCATGCGGAGAAAAGTACTTCTTTGCCCTTGACATAACGTACGTTTTTCTGCAAGATGACATTTCGTCGGTTTTTTACGTTTACGATATCACAAACACATAAAATGTGAACTCCTTAAATCCGTGCTACTGCCCGAACCCACGGTCGACAGATGACTAATATTCCGTATTTCAACGTGTTCTATCACATGTCATCATCAACGCATCCTCATTGGAAAACTCTTTATTTAGGCAGTCATGCACGAAAATATGCAAAACAGCGTTTGTTGTGAACTATTTAAAGAGAATGGTTAGCATACTTATTGGAAAAAATAAACGCTAATAGCACTGAACTATCATGGAGGTGGAAACCTGGCCTTGAATATACAAGATGCGGTGTTGTCAAGAGAACCAATGATGCAATCTTACAGAATTTGTGAACCTTTCGTTTTGACCTAAGATGGAGAGCGCCGTTGGGATCAATCCGGAATCGATCCTAAACAGATTCGACAAAATTCACAATTCAAAAACGTGTTCACTCAAAATAAAACCATTATTTGGCCGTAGAGAATAGACTAACGCATATTTTCAACATGCATCATAATTCAAGGAACAGCTGTAACAAATTGCGGTAGATTGTCACGACCTTCTGCGTCAGCGTTGCTAGGCACCGTGATGATGAGCTACGCTGACTAGCCGGATTCTATCTCTTTCTAACATCTCGCGCTCCTCTCTCGTACACCTTGAACTCAGGTCATCAGTCAAATTCGGTTCTGCATGCATACATAATTAACACACAAAGAAACGCAACAATGTAAAACTAATAGTTGCAAATACAAGGTAGGCCATAAAGGTGTTGACAATTTCAATATTCAATTAAAAAATAACTACGCAATTTAAAAGAAAAATAAATGTATTTTTAAAAAGTAGAAAGATAGGAATTTTTGAAACCGAAGCTGCAGATTTTGGAAGACTCGTTGTAAAGTTGTTATCGGTGTTTTGTTACTTTCCTGAACAATGTTCCTCTTCAGCTGCTCTAAATTAGTTGGATTATTCTCGTAGACTACCGATTTGAGATAGCCCCATAGGAAATAATCGCATGGAGAAAGATCGGAGCTACGTGGTGGCCATTCAATATCCCCCATTTTCGAACTGAGTTTTCCCAGAAAGACATTTTTCAGCAGCTCTATAGATACCCAGCTGTATGGCATATGGCCCCATCTTGTTGAAACCACATTCTAGAAGTCTTGCCTTGGAGTTCTTGCAAAGCTGGCACCAAAAAGTCTGATATCATATTGCAATAATTGTTAGCTTTAACTGTCATCGCTTGCCCTCTTTCGTCCTCAAGAAAGTACGGTCCAACAATACCGGTCGACGTAATTCCAGCACACGACTGACTTAGAGCTGTGAAGTGGACGTTCATGCAAGCGTTGGGGATTAGTCTCAGACCAGAACCGACAATTTTGTTTGTTAACATGACCGTTGAGGTGAAAATTGGCCTCATCACCTAAACATCACGTTGTTAAAACTTTTGAATCGGTCGAGCATCAAATTGACAAAGTTAAGTCGGTTCGCCGCAAGCTTGTTCTTTTGATGTCCAAAACCTGACTTCTCTTATGTGTTCACTGTTGCGGATTTCGCTGAATTGAAACAGGAACACGCTCTACATTGTCGGCTTATCTTGCAGAACCTGAACGACCACCTGCTGTTATTGCTACTGTCGAGCTGGTTGTTTCGAATATTCTGATCCATTTCCGTATCACACTGGAACTTCTCTTTAATCGCGCAAACCGTGTTCATGTCGATACAAACGTCGTGCAGTAATGACCGATTTATTGTTTTCATAATACGCTCGGACTCAAAATGCACGCTGCGCTCCATGGCGACTAAATTTACAGGCAACGGCGCGGCAATAGCTTATCCCCCGCCCAACCTGCGCCAGGCGTTTCCGAGAAATTTAATATTTAAATCGCCAACACGTGAGTGCGAGTGGAACACAAATTGGTCTCTACTCTGAATAAGAAGTTGGAAAATCCGTCATGATTATTATGCTGCTCCTAGGCCCTATTGAGACCCTCGTTTGTCTTCTCCAGGGCTCACTAACGGCTAAATCATCAACCACCCCAAATTATTGAAAAAGGTGGTGAAGCGACCCTGCGGAGTTTCTCTTACACTAGGCATAGAACGCCAACGTTCCCCCAGAATCGATTTTTGTGTTCATATGATGGCTGGGCTGTCGCAAAGCGAGCACTTGACTGTTTCGTCTTCCTGAACATATGGATGTTTCACTCAATCCAATCTTATAGCAATGTCTCCTTAGCTGACAGTGTCCGTTTCCAATGCCAGTGGAATAACTAGATAGTTGTCTGGATATAAACAGGCAGTATTCAGGTGCTTCCTCATCAGGATATGGGAATTCTTCAGGGAATAAGCAGCCCAATGATAGGAAGTTATGTTATTACTGGTGAAGACATCCACGAGTGCCAAATGGCAGTCTGGTTCTACTCTTGTTATGAGCTTGCGACACCTGAAAGTCAGTATAGCTTGTCTGCTTTCTGTGCAGATCCTAATATACTAAGTGACATATAAATCCGAACACCCAGTTTAAATGGTTTTATTTTAATAAAAGTTGGTGAATGTATTTATCTCACTGTTTTACCGAAATTATCCACGTCGGAATGGAGGAATACATCCCTCACACAGTGAAAGTTCCTAAACCAGGGTCCAACGGCTGGTTCAACAAATCATGTGACACTGCTCGCCAGCAGAAGATCAAGGCCCACAGAACCTACTTACAAAACCCCACTGTAGAGAACAGACAAGCCGACGTCGAGTCCAGAAACAAATATAACGAAGCGGTTCGCAATGCCAAAACCCAGCATGATATAAAAGTTAGGCACAGGGTAATGTCGCAGCGCAATGGCAGTCGGTCTTTCTGGATGCTGGCCAAGCAGATTGAAAAGAACTTCTCACACAGTAGCCTTCCTCCACTTACGTGTTAGGATGGAACTATTGTATTCGACTCAAAGGCCAAGGCGGAAGTGCTAGCCAAGATCTTTGCTGCCAACTCCACCATGGACGTCCCCACCAACGACCAAGTGCCGTCAATTCAAAGGGTTCCCCACACTATGCGGGAGGTAACATTCAGGCATAAGACCGTAAGACGAGTGCTCTTGTCGCTCGACATCAACAAAGCTTCTGGTCCCCACTTGATTCCTGCCATTGTACTGAAGAGATGTGCAGCTGAGCTTGCTCCAGTTCTTTCGCGTCTCTTCCAGATATCTTATGAATCCGGCACCTTCCCAGAAAACTGGAAATTTGCTCATGTACAGCCCATCCCAAAAAAAGGATCTAAAACCGACCCTTACAACTACAGGCCTATAGCTCTGCTTTCTGTTATAAGTAAAGTGATGGAGAGGTGCATAAATCGCGAGCTTCTGGACTACTTCGAACGTCACAGCTTGATTAGCGACAGGCAGTACGGTTTCCGGCACCAACGATCCACAGGGGATCTCCTAGCTTACGTCACGCAACTGTGGAGTAAACTCATCGAGTCTCATGGTGAGGCTCATGTCGTTACTCTTGACATCACGAAAGCGTTCGATCAGCTGTGGCACGCTGCCCTCTTGAGCAAACTTCCATCCTACGGCCTCCCAGAAAAGCTTTGCAGATGGGTGGCTGACTTTATCTCTGGCCGCAAGATATCCGTCGTAATTGACGGATTCTCCTCTTCATCCCACAACGTCAACGCGGGTGTTCCCCAGGGATCGGTCTTGGCTCCAACACTGTTTCTCTTACATATCAACGACCTCCTTTCCTGCACGATCAACCCAATCCACAGCTTCGCTGATGACAGCACTCTACATGCAGGAATTCAGAGTGACAAGCCGATCTCTGCCGCTGAGCTGGAAAAAAGAAGACTAGCGACGACTTCTTCTCTGACAAGAGACCTGGAGGCTATCACTGCTTGGGGACGCAACAATCTTGTACAGTTCAATGCTTCCAAAACACAGTACTGTACTTTGACGAACAAAAAGCGTCCTAGCGCTCATACAGTTTCGATGGACGGTCGAGTTCTACCAAAGAGCCATTCATTTCGGCTGGTCGGAGTCCAGATCACCGAGGACCTGATCTGGCACGAACACATCTCTTCAATAGCTGCAGCTGCTGGGAAAAAGCTGGCTATTTGTTTAGGGCTAAGAAGTATTTTTCTCCGCATGACCTTCTCACTCTATACAAGGCACAGATAAGGCCTAGCCTCGAGTATTGCTCACACATTTGGGGTGCTGCCGCCCCGACTACATTGTCCATGCTCGATGCTGTCCAGAGGAGGGCGGTCCGACTGATCGATGACTCTTCTCTAACAGACAGTCTCGGGACTCTTTCGCACCGGCGGGCCGTCGGCGATCTAGCTCTTTTCTATCGCTACACCAACGGGCTTTGCTCCTCAGAGCTCTCTTCCATGATGCCGCCGCGCGATGTGCCTGCCAGACAGACCCGCCTGACTTCGGCGTCGCATTCTAACCGTGTCAAACTTCGTACATCCAGAACTGGCCGATACGACCGCTCCTTTGTCCCGAGGGTGTCTAGATTGTGGAACAAACTACGGGAGGAAGCTTTTCCCAGTTCTACTAACCTTAGGCAGTTCAAAAATCGTATTAACAAAATTTCTTTGGGATCATCATAGCAGCCGCGGTGTTCCGGCATTTAGGCTTCTGCCTGCGCGGCTGTTTCGATATAAAAAAAAAACTGTAAATAACAAGTGAAAAAATGTTCAGCCTTATCAGTTGGACATTCCTGTTTTTATACTGCTTTTTTTTTAATTCACTAACGCTCTAAAAATGAATATTTCAGCCGCAGTAAAGAATCAACGTTGGCGGATTTTGGTTCTTGACATCGTTTACGATCGGTTACGGTGCCTAGAGTACGGAGACCTGTACGATTTCGTCAACTTAGTGAGTTTGATAGGGGCCGTATAGTGGGACTTCGGGAAGCTGGACTTTCTTTTCGGGCAATTGCAGTTAGAGTGCAAAGAAGTGTAGACACTGTGGTTAGGTGTTGTCAGGCATGGCTTCGAGAAGGCCATACGCAAAGAGCAAGGGGCACTGGACGCCGCCGTAGAACAACAGACCGTGAAGATCGCCGCCTAAGATTATTGGCCTTAAGGAACCGTTTCTCCACTACCAGATCCATTGCAAATGACTGGTTTGCAGAACACGGAAGACCTATTGGCATGCGAAGTGTTTATCGACGAATGAGAAGTTTTGGCTTGTTTTCATACCGGCCACACTGGGTCCTCCCTTTAACTCGAGAACACCGACGTAATTTCCTTGAGTGGTGCAGACAACGGTCACTCTGGGATCAGGAATGGAACAGTATTGTCTTTAGTGACGAGTCTCGATTTTGTTTAGGCATGCACGATGGTCGTGCCAGGGTAAGAAGGCGACGTGGTGAAAGGAGGAATCCACAGTTTTTTGTTGAAAGACATGTTCATCACACTGTTGGAGTTATGGTTTGGGGTGCTATAGCTTATGGTTCCAGGTCACCTTTAATCTTCATCAGAGGTAACATGAACGCGCAGCGTTATATCCACGAAGTTCTAGAACCTCATCTTTTACCCTGTCTTGATACCCTGGCAGATCCAAATTTCCAACAAGATAATGCCCAACCACATGTTGCAAGAGTCACAATAGACTTCTTTCAACATAATGATGTCACATTGTTACCATAGCCACCAAGATCTCCCGACTTATCCTCAATTGAGCACGTGTGGGATATGATGGGTAGGAGACTGCTCAATTTGCAACGTCCTCCTCAGACTCTAGAAGCACTTCGAGAGGAGCTGGTGGTTGCCTGGAATGAGATACCACAGGAGGACATTGACCACCTGATCAGAAGCATGCCTAGGCGCGTTGGAGAATGCGTAGCACATCAGGGTGCATCCACACATTATTAAAGGTCAAAGGGCTTTAAAGCAGTGCAATCATTTTGAAATGTTTATCATTTACTTATTATGCTTCATTAAGTACTTATACAACATTTTATTAAAATAAAACCATTTAAACTGGGTGTTCGGATTTATATGTCACTTAGTATATTTTTGCCTGTAATATTTCTGTTGCAACTAAAATTTTGTCACCTAAGTCGACTTGCGTCACGGTGTATCACTTGTAATGCATATAGAGGCTTCTAGATAAGCAGGATTACGATAGTTCGACAATCTGACAGCAATTTGCGAAGATTGGTCGGAGATGGCAATCATGAGTAGGAATATAGCCGGCCCATGCTAACAATTTTACCGGGTGTTTCTTGCTAGTAGATAATGCAGTACAAATAAAGCTCGTTATGTGACCTTCACTGATACCAGTGGGTTGGATTTAGGAGGAGCTATGGTTCAATGCGGGGCTTAATAACCGAACTGTCATCTAGCGAATCATAAGTCTCTTTGCGGCAAAGCATAATCCCTTAAAAACCCAGTAGACAATATCGTACACATAAAAGATTTTTACCGAGAAAATGAGATAGGGCAGCAAATCTTGGATATATTGAAATGATCTCCATCCGCAGTGGTAAACCAGTGGCATCCATATCTTTTGAACGTCCTCCATTCCCTGAACTCACCAAACGAGTGATCTCTGAGAGTATCAAGTTTAAAGTCAAATACTTTTCCGCCTATAGTCGCCTTAGCTCTCAAAGTACCAAACTGTTCATAATGCGTTTGGTGGACCCTAAAACGGTTATACGAAAAATATTAAGTACAAAAGAGTACAAAAGGTATAATTATGATTATTCGGAGCTAATACGAGTAGAACTCACTTTTGCAATGTATCAAAATAAGATTTACTCCACGGCTCATATGCCATATCACTCGCCAATCTAAGAGGATCCATATCTGTATCAAAATTGAAATATGGAAGATCAGAGATCCAGATCGCATCGATTTTTACAGCGTATAAAATATCTTCATTTGAAGTCCCATACGCCTGAAATGGAATGAAGATATTTATATTAATATTTATTTATAATGTTTTGGTCGAAGGTGAGTTTTCAAAAAGGTTGCGTAAGGCACTTATGAGTATTTGTTGGGTTGTACCGGTGGAAGATACTAACTTCCTTTGATTAAATAGAACATCCAATTTTAATTTGCTACACGATATTCTAATTACATGTATATCATCACCTACACATACAGGGTGACTTCGAAGTTGAGTCATTTATTTTAACAGTGAGTAGATCTGATCAAAAGAAATGTTTTTTTCCTTTACCATTTTTCTGGTAAAATTAAAGTAACAAAGTTGTAGCCCTTTGGAAGTTTGAGTACCGCCCTGTCTCAATGTGCTCGTGTTTGGCGACAACGGATATAATCCGCCGTATCGGTTCATCGCATCGGAAACAAAAAAGCGAAAGAATTTGGAACGATGTTTTTACATTGTTTCATTCATTTGTATACAGTCAGTGTCAGTGAATAGTGGTATCTGTTGCGTGGCTCAAACGAAATAAAAAATGGCACATGTTTATGCGGATCGGTTTCCCAATCGAGTGCAACCAACCCCTCGTGCCTTTGTTAATGTAGTACAACGGGCTCGTGAATCAGGTGACTTAAGACCTCACAGGGGACCTCACGATCAAATACAGGTCCGCACTGAAATACTTGTCGGGAGGATACTTTATAAAACAAGGTAAACATTTTTTTTTTATTTTTTTTTTAATTTTTACACACATATTTTGGTTTATCTTCCTTCTACAAACATTATCTGAAAATTAATGACTCAACTTCAAAGTCTACGTCTAGCCGCTTTTGAGATGTCTCAAATTTTACGTAAGAAATGACAAATACAGACAAATTCAAACATTAAAAGTAAGGCTAATTAGTATAAGGATATCTAAACCCTATTCGTTTTATCGTCTTTGTATTAGACTGTAAAGTTGGCAATAATAAATCTAGAGTAAATCTAGTAAAACTTGCTTGTAAGCCTTTTTTGTATGCAAATGAACATTTCAAAATAAAAGAGTTGTTAGCAAGTACAAGATAAATTTGGAGAATACAAAAATTACAAAACAAAATACGGTTCTGTCTACCTGGCGAATTATGTGTCATTTGTCGATATGGGGAATTTTACTTTATAATCAGTTGTTATTCTGCCTTAATGGATACTCATAAGTAACATCATAAGGGCATCTAATTTTTCCGAAAAAAATTGAAAAAACACGTTGCTAAGTAAGGAATATTTTAACAAGCATAAGCGTTGGTGGTAAAAAAATTCCGAGCCGAAGACGAGCACGAATGTTTTTTGTTAAAAAAATATTACTTTGCATTGTGATTTTTCGATTTGTATTCACAGGAAAAAAATTAGATGCCAGAATGGTATTTGACAAGACTACTTCATCAGTAACTAAAAACAATATTACAAGACTTATTAACAATAAAATCAGAAAAACTGTTTAGCGTCGTTTTCCGGTATCCTAGGAGACCATGATTACTTGTTATCAAAGGTATTGTAGTTTTTGGTGACCACAGCTGCCAAGTTTTGCCGCGGGTAAGCGCGAAAAAACTGCTGACAGATGCTGCCATACAATTTTTCCATCTAGAAACCATTTGTAATTCAAAATTGCACGTTTGTGATTGGTAGAAATTAACCTTCATTTTCCCTTCATACGTCAAACTATACTTCCTCATATCTTCTATTGGTGTAATTCTTAAGCCTTCTGCGGAATAGGTATCATCATCTACATCCTTGTAGAGTGAAGTACTCGGCATTTTTGGTGTAGCCAAAACCCCCAGTCCAGAGCTGTTGATTTTGAGCAATAGAAAACCGTCCACTAAAAGATTCTTCCTTCTAGCTAAACCAACAACCAAGTGGTCCCCATCGCCATTTGCACCATTCAGATAGACTGCATCTATAGCCTTAACAGAAATGGTCACATAGAGAGATTGGGTAGAGATAGAACAAAGAAAATTTACCTTTTCATCTTCTGAAAGCTTTTGATGCGATTCCAAGAGACTCAAGTGGACTCTACCTCTTACTTTGTTAACGATCTAGAAAAACAAATCCGTAGATGAAGGAGGTTCTATAATAGCAAGGCCAATTAGATATTCCGTACGCACGAGTAGTCCATATCAGGGAGTAAATAAGGATGCCAATATAAACTTTGCCTAAAATGCTCGTCGAAGTTTGAAAGGAAAAATTTGTACTCTACTGTAGATACCTGACAAACTCAAAAATACTTTTCAACCACCAACAATTTTATATGCTGCTTGTTCTCATTTCAACTTGGTAAAAAATATTTAAAGCGAAATAAAATTTGACAAGGTTGTTGAAATATAGATAAATTAGATCCATATTACAAGCAACTTTAGGTAGGTAATGATAATTATCTCTAAAATCACCAATTCACACTTCATACTACCTACCTACTTCAGTTAAAATATTCCATATCATAGTTTGCTATAATTTCCAACACCATAAGTACCAATATGTCACTCACCTTTCTTAGTGATAAAGCCGTATACATAAATAATACTTTCAGCCAATATAGCCCATTTTTTCTTTGATATATTCCACATATGGGTGGATAACTTTCTTCTAATAATCGCCAAACAAAAAGAAGTAACACAGAACACGTAATCACGGTTGTTTCTGCAATTCCGAACATTATTCATTAATAACTGATGCTAATTTCTTGAGTGTACGCGATTATACGTTAATATCTTGATAAAATATTATTTATCCTATTTATTTAATGATTAAAATTAGTATAAAAAAACGCGAAAAAAGTTTGCCGAAACCCGGGATCGAACCAGGGACCTTTAGATCTTCAGTCTAACGCTCTCCCAACTGAGCTATTTCGGCGTTGTATGTTTTGTTGCGGTAACCGCTATACAACCGGAGGAGTTCACGCTATACAGGCCGTAATTATGTGATAATTAATTTTTTTCTTGAAGCGATATTCCAACAATCATTTTTCTGAAATTATAATTATATAAAATCATGTCTGAACAATATTTTGTGATTGGAAAAAAAATCATTATAATTACTAAATAGCTCTATGGATTCTGTTGTACATTCTACCATAGGCGCCGGGAAGACAAATTTACAGGGGTTCTTCCAATAGGATTTTGTTAAACCAATTTTATGCTCGTTTGTCTTTTAGCGCCAGTTGCACATTCTGTAATGATCTCTATGTGACATCAAACTGATTGCAATAGGTGCAGTCAACTTCCAGATAAAATCGAGCGTTAACTGGTGTTAACTGTGGAGACGAAAGGTTCGAAGCTTTAAACCGCGCCCGTATCAAGTAACTTAAAAAGTGACATTATATCGATTTCTAATGAGATTATGTTGGTTTTTTATCTAGACTTTCCTGTAAAATATCACCTTTCAACTACCTGACGTTTACGTTATGATCACCTAGTGCACAAGTTGACATTTCACCGATTTTTTTTAGCGTTTTCTACGTAAACCCTGCCGATCCTCAGAAAACATACATGTATGCTTTTGCGAGTGAAATAATATAATACAAAAGCTAAAGTTTAATGCATCCCTGCCAATACCTACTGCATTGTAACATGAATATATGAGAGGTACTAGAAAAGAAATCTACCTAGCAATGAAAAAACAATTGAAACGCATAGTATGTCAAATAGTGCAACCTTACTTACTTGCAAATTTGAGTTAATTCTGTTCGTTAGTTTCCAATTTATAATGTAAATTGTAACTTAAAATTAGAGGATCACAAACGAAAAAAAGAGGGCCATCAGCCTGGCAGAGTTGTTGCTGTCTATCAGGATGATGCACCATAATATTACACAATCAAATTTTGGTCGAAACAGTTTCGATGGGGGCGTGAACCTGTGGAAGACGATCCCCGAAGTAGAAGACCCAAAGCAGCAACAAATGATAAAATGACTCAAATAATTGAAGTTTTCGAAGATCGTGAAGGTCTCTACAATTAATGTGGCATTGGATTAATCAAAACCCAGCGTAGTAACTATCTTGCACGAGTTCCACGGTTCCACGGCTGTTGACAAAAATTGCACAGGTTGGAAATTTCAAAAAGTCATTTGGAATCTATGACCAACGATCCTAACTTTTTTGGACAAATTGCGACTTGCGACGAGACTTCTGGGCATCATTGGGAAGCCAAATAGTGGGTTCATCTCCAAAAAGGCACGGACACAATTTCTGGTGGAAACTTGATGTCCACAAGACATCATGGGCATTCTTAACCTTAAATATATGCCAAAAAGGCCAAAAATAAATGCGGACGTCTATGCGAACAAGCTGAAAAATTTACGTAATCAACCGGAAAATTCCCGTTTTTTCTCTCGAGAAGTGTTGGTGCGGCATGACAATGAGACCGGGCATAGTACTGTCAAAATTAGTCCAATTGTGCAGGAAAGCAGCTTCATTGAGATGAACCATCCTCCTTATAGTCCAGATTTGGCTTCGTCTAAGTTTTATCTCTAGATTACTGGAGAAATATCTTCGAGGACTCAGAAGATGCTTTTCTAGAGCCCCTCATGATTTATAAAGAGCTTCGACTCCTGTGACTGTTGCACCCATTTCCTGTGACAAACGTGATTGTAATAAATGGATGTAACCACTAAGCGCAGAGTAAAAGAAACTACCCTAATGTTTGGAATGTTGGAAGCCCGTAAGATGTGACTAAATTATAATTTGAATACAAGTGCTACATGCTGTTTTTTGAGGTAAATTGGATTAATTGCGAATATTTCAGTCATATATCCTGCATTTCAAGGAATCCGATATTGAATCTTATCTAACCTTATGAGCACTCATGCTTATTACGTAATTTTTGTGTATTCATTGATATGAGATACCGAAGTAAGTTACAATTCACCACAAGATAAGATTACCGTCTTGATATATGTTCACACCATGGTAATTTGAGTGATAGCAGTTAGGTCAGGTACTCGCTAATTCTTTTAGTGTCTGCCAGATCCGCACTCACTATGTTCTTCTTCTCTATAATTTTTATTTGATTCTTGTTTAATAACGAAAAGTTTGCCAAACGCACTAAATTTAGCATTTGGCTTGTGTCATTATTACAAGCGCGCTGCGGACAACGCCACGGAAGCTCTGCTGGATCTCCCACCGCTGGATCTAGTGATCCGCGGACAGGCTAGAGTAGTCGCACATCGACTGTGGAGTCAAGGCAGCTGGACCTTTTTGAAGAGTCACAGTAGAACTGCAGAGAGGGGATCCTGTCCATCTAAGCATGATTTGATCACCAATAAATATCGTTTCAACCGCAAGCTTAATATGGAATATCTAATGAGGCCGGAGTGGGACTCCGGAAGCCGGAAGGTCTCCGGAGGGAGTGGGCAGGTCTGGTACACCGACAGCTCGGTCACTGAAGAGGGCGCCGGAATCCTTGGACCTAGAACTAGGCTATCTCTGCCTCTTGGAGGATACAACACTATTTTCCAGGCGGAAATCTTTGCGATTCTGGCTTGAGGGTTGAGGGCCTAGGAGCAGAATAACAATCTGCAATGAAGGCACCAAGTGCCTGTAAGATTAGTTTGAGCCTTGTATAGCAATGCAGGGAGGCTGTGATTTGTCTAGCAGCGAGGCATCGGTATCGTTACTGTGCTAAGGATGGACGCTTGTGCTTATCCTTGAACTGAGCCAATCTAAGGTGGTCATAACACGTTGAGGCGCTTCCTGCACGAGATGAGGGTGGCTGAGGATCCCTTGTGTGAGCTCTGCTGGGTAGAGGAAGAGACCTAGGTGCATGTTTTGTGTCGCTGTGAGGCTCTGAGCTATTACAGGCCAATTGAATCCCCAGAGCATTAATGAGCTAGGACTCAGGGATATACTCAACTTTGCTAGAAAGGCGGGGCTTGAGGTTTAGGTAATGTAGAGGTACGCAAGAGCCTGTCTAAGTGGCCTATGCGCCGGCTCCTCATGCGGACCAGTATGCTTCTAATTTCATAATTGATTCATTCGTAAGAACGAAAATAGAACTTCGTCTAAATGCTCACACAATTGGTTGACAGGCATGTGCTGTTTTCATGCAGCTCTGTAATTATCGCTGGATTTAAAGGGTTACTGACCCAATCAAATACGTGTCTGAGAATCTCTGGAAACTCCACCTCCAAAGCTGGAAATTGGGGGTTGAAAGTTTGTTAGAACTCCATTACTTTTTCGTCAAATGAAACCACATATATGCATAAATTACTATCTACTGACGTTTTGACAAAAAAAAATTCAAATAAGAAAGGATCATGTCACAAAATTGTATATATCTGACATCGACTGATCAAAATGAAACTGAAGATACTATCAAAGGTCTAAAAGTTAAAAAATCACCTGGTTTTGATAACATAACTGTTTATAACCTGAAACAAGTAACAACATGTCAAAAATGTTAGCGCATCTCGTAACCTCCTGCTTGGAAAACGGAATATTCACATCCCAACTCAGCAAAGCTATAATCAAACCAATATAAAAATCTGGAGATAAACAAAAAACTGAAATTTATTTAAACACTAACTAGTTATCATGAATTACAACTCAATACTTAACTAAACTATACTATCGAATTCTGTGGAGTGACCCATTCTGCTCTACCAGACACAACTTTCTTGGAATGTCTCTCATGAGGTCCTGGACGGAATTCAGACCAATTTATCTCAGTTCTTCGTAAATTCGCCGTCTTAATTCTGCTTCATCTTGGACTTCCCAGCCTCCATGATAAACCTTCCTAGACAGTAAAGCCCAAAAATCCTTTATTGGGCGAACCTGTGGCAAGTTTGAAGGATTATCGTTTTTGGAAATATGTTCTGTTGTCGAAGCCAGTTTGGGTATCTCTTGAGTAATGGCATGATGCTAGGTCTAGCCAAATATAATATATATGATCATTAGCATGATGTTCGTTGACAAACTGAAGCAATTTGGAAAGGCAGTTAATTTCAAACATCTTGTCGATACTTTTTATTATTTCTAATTTATACGATATCTTAAAGCGAAAACTTCAAAATAAATAAATGTCAGCTGACAGTAAAGTGAGTAAACAAGCTTTTGTTCCCAAAGCCAACTTGATATTGTTTTGAGTTTGTTGAAATTAAAGTCAATGAATTTTGTGCCAAAACTTTTAGGACATACGTTACATCGCACGAAATTGAAACTCACGCAGGGCGGGTGAGTTCGATCCCACTTCTGATGCTACAGGCCAAAAAATATGCGAATAACTCAAGTTATTGGAAATACCAATAATAACCCGGTGCGGTACTCAATGTCCCCGTTATGCCAGGCCAGGCGCGGATCCAGGAGGGCAACGATGCATGAGTATGTATGAGAGAGATATACAGGGTGACATCGAAGTTGAGTCATTTATTTTAACAGTGAGTAGATCTGATCAAAAGAAATGTTTTTTTCCTTTACCATTTTTCTGGTAAAATTAAAGTAACAAAGTTATAGCCCTTTGGAAGTACTGGAGTACTGCCCTGTCTCAATATTAATATTATGTGCTCGTGTTTGGCGACAACGGATATAATTCGTCTTATCGGTTCATCGCATCGGAAACAAAAAAGCGAAAGAATTTGGAACGATGTTTTTACAATTATTTCATTCAGTTGTATACAGTCAGTGTCAGTCGGTAGTGGATAGTGGTGTCTGTTGCGTGGCTCAAACGAAATAAAAAATGGCACATGTTTATGCGGATCGGTTTCCCAATCGAGTGCAACCAACCCCTCGTGCCTTTGTTAATGTAGTACAACGGGTTCGTGAATCATTTGACTTAAGACCTCACATATGGACGGCATGCCGGTGCTTCAAGACCTCAAGATCAAATACAGGTCCGCACTGAAATACTTGTCGGGAGGATACTTTATAAAACAAGGTAAATTTTTTTTTTATTTTTACACACATATTTTGGTTTATCTTCCTTCTACAATCATTATCTGAAAATTAATGACTCAACTTCAAAGTCACCCTGTATAGTATGTATGGAAGTAATTCCTGTTGTTTTTTGTGACACGCCTGATGTGTGTCCGAAAAACCGATAATTCACGGGTCGAAGGCGATGAGAGACGGTGATCGGCGAGTACAGCCAAGTATGCCCTCTGCACGATGGAGCTCGCGCGTAACCGTGAAGAGCAGCCATGTGGAGGTTTCAAGAATGAGTCCGGTCCTGTGTAATCGTTAAATAACCTTCTTTACGGGCAGCAGTCGGCGGCATCCGCACGTCCTCAGCGGCGGTAGACTTACGTCGCATCTGCCTGAAAAACGTCGCTGAACCGCTGCTGAAGTCACGCTGAATTGCGCCGGAACGCGCCAGCGACAAACCACGCGATCCACGGTTTGTCAGACCACGCCAGTTGAGGTTATCTTTTCAGTATTCACATCCCCGCCGGGTTTTCCAACTGATTAAATTGTGAATCACATTTGGCATTATTATTAAGCAACAAGTGAGACAGCACGAGTGAAGTCACCGCTGGAATTGGAGCAGATACCCTTTCAGGAAGGTAAACAAATCACAGTTGCTTATAATAGGGGCGCGGGTAGCAGGGTTGTCAAATCTCTTGAGCTTGTGAGTCACGTAGGCAAAAAAGCTAGAAAAATATCCAGGTGAAGAAGATCATTGGGGCAATCGGCCAGTGGGGCATGTGTCTGTATACCTACATGGTGTATACTGTAATTGGGGGTGGCAACGTTGCCACATCTTAAATTGTAATTGTACGATACAGAAAGCTTTTACAAAATCTTACTTATAATGAACATTATATACTTATAGATACGTATGATGTGATTGTGTACTGGCATGTCATCGTTTTAGTACAGAAATGTGAAGGCTGGGGCGGAAAATGCTGATACATGATCAAAGCAGCAGCAAAATTATCTAATTGCGCGATGTAAGCTTTTCACCTCGGTTTCAGCTGATCTTTCACCATACTGTTTATTCACATTTTGTGTAAGAGTCTAGCGTTGTCAACACATAAATTAGCGAAGCCGAACGAAGCCTCAAAGACCCTGAGTGAAATTAACATGTTCGCCGAACGCCCCAGAATTTTTTGAATCAATATAAAAATGTCAATGTTATTTTTTTATTAATCCAAATACATATCGATTTATTTAACAATGTTTTACAAAAAGTGACAATAAAATCGTCTCAAACTCGCAGCATAAGAAATGGAATCACAAGGGATTACTAATGAAATTATACTCTTCTCTTTCTGAGGTATTCTAGCAACTAAAATAATCAGGAACACTTTTCTTTTTACAAGATTTTATTTAACTTGACTTGTTTGTCAGTATGTATGTTAAAAAGGGTGGGACAAATCTTGGAACTGAATTTTGAACCAGTCAAACTGAACCAATTGAGCTGAAATGTTGTACACACGTTTGGTTTGCGTGACAGTACAAAATGAATTTTAAATCCAGTATGGCGAATGACGATTCATCATTTCCATAGTAACCCCTATGATATTGATATAAAATCGAAAGGGTTCGATGAAAGAAATACAATAAAGAAAGTGACGTCATTCTAAATCCAACATGGCAGCCGCCGCAAATTGGCGATTTACATGTTTCGTAGGCACCTCTACAATATGAGTATGAAATAAAAATGGTTTGGAAACGCAATAAGCTAAGTGAAATTATTCCAAATCCAGTACGACGACCGTTCCAAGATGGCGTAGTCACCCCTATGTATAGGTTAATCTCACATTAAAGGGCTTTATCGGAGAAATATAACAAACAACGCGATATCTAAATCTAATATGGCGGCCATCGCAAAATGGCATCATGTGCAAGCCGATTCGCAATGCAGCTGCCACACGCCCTTGCACACACCCATGTAGTGGGAGCGTCATTCTCGGTCACTTTCTGAAAATATGTTACTTTTAATACAGATTGTAGACATTGTAGTTCTATCTGCAGGCACTAACTATATTTTATATCAAAGATCAATTAGCGAAAACACAAGTCACGCGCCCATGACAACATATGTATGGAAGGTCACACAAACGTCCATGGAGGCCGATTGCATATATTTATGTGCGAGAGAGATGAATATATGAAAGTAATTTCGGTAGTTTTACCCAAGAGTAGTTAATATAGAGAAGACAGCGAATAAAATTAAATAGAGATAACAGATGACTCTAAAAACAGTTCGTCCACAAAACAGCTGATGGCGACTAAACACGGCGGTACTTATTAAGTCATCCATTTGTTACCTACGAAATATATTTCTCATTCAATAGTTATATAATTCACACTTTTTGTGAGAGTAATAAAAGAAGTACGTAAGCTTGAAATTCTAAAGTTCTTTAAACTCAAATTGCTTATTTGACTAATCGTCGGTCTATTTGACATTGTCGCAAGTTATCCAGACAGCCTGGCCTTAAGATGCTAATTAAATTTATTAAGTATGAGTTTTTGACGTAACCACCATGAAAAGAGCCCCATTCTACTTAGTATAAATGTAGCATTTTATAAATATTTTATGACAGAAAGGCAACACCGCCTGAGTATCCAATGACGGTTTGACATGATCGCGGTTTTCGTTTGTAATCTAGTAACACTCCAAGAGCCGACCGCAAAATTTTGGTTTCATCGAGTACTACGATGAAATGTTAAAAAATAATCAAATCGTAAGTATTTTAATGCTTAACAACAAACTAGTGACTAATTTTCATCGTATCACATCAGTATGCGATGATGTAACAAAAAATGTACGATCTGCTTTCCTAGTATAATGCAGCAGATTATAAAGGCATTCCGTAGAATAAGTTACATAAAATTCAATCGGTGATTTTCAGTACTATTTAACAAAAATATTTAATTACAACAAATCTCCGAAAAATTAATAAAAGTAGTAAAATTGAGCTTGTCTGGGTCAATGCGGCACCACAGCGGGTAGTAAACGATTTTATAAGGGCCGAACTAAGGAATTTGTGTATCTACACCCGACGCGCTATTGGATGTTGTACCAATTAAAGCGGTTATTACTCCTAATTTATTAACAATAAAACATGCTTATTCAACCGTGCGTGCTTAACATTCCAGTCTGCGGATGCTGTACCGGCGGTAGCGCGGCGAGTAGATCGAATTGTTTTGAAGGACTGCAGAAAACAGAAAAAAAGTGACGAGAAGGCTTTTTAGTGACAGCTGCAATTGGGGATTTTTGTGTTCAAATCATTGTAGCAGATCAGATTGAATTCGCAGGCATGTTAGATAAATAATGCTTATGAGGTCGGCAAGATAATTTTTGATACTTGTCATTCACTGGGTGAGCGACGAGGGTGGAGCTTTTTGGAGGGATCATTTTTTTAAATGTTTAACTTTGTCTCGTAACGTTTTTTTTTTCAAACAAACATTGAAATGTTCCAGTTCAATTTCACACATAATGCCTCCGAATCAACACATCTAGAGATGCTAGCAGTTGTTTTTGCATGTTTTGCCATGTTCGTAGTTTATCCTACGATTTTGATTTCGTAAAAAACGTGCCTAGCCTAATAGGTATCTTCTCCGTTACAAAAATGTACGTTTGCTATATAGTTTTAGTCTCATAAAATGCGTACCTCGGATCTTTATTACCCTTTCAAATAGCTGTTGTTTCCGATGCAATCAACTGATATGGCTAAAATGAATCATTAGTCATGTCTCACTGTATATGTTTCACATTTATTCCAATTTAAGGTACTATTACCCTATTATCAATTTTTATCGTTTTACGTATGTACAATTTAAAATAACATGGGTTTTGAATTAGATCAATAGTCTACATTGTGCCAATAATATAATAATAGTTCTCGACTATACAGGGTGATCACTGTCTAAGATAAGTATCCTATGCATGGGGATCTCAATATCTGTGGGAGATACAGCTTGGGTTATATAAAGAAAAAGTTGCGTTCTTTGGGTCATATTTACATGCCGTTCAGAAACTTGTAAAGATTTCATGGAATATTGAGATATTTGGGAAAAAGTAAAATTTGGCCAAATTGTTTTAATTTTTTCTGACTTTATTTTAAGAAGTAACAAAAAACTAATGCAACTTTTTCCTTGGCATTTTTTAGGCACTACATGGTGGTGTTTTTAAATTGTATGCCCGACGCACAGTGTGTTCCTTTATAGGGATCAGGGACAAAATTCGATATCTTAAAAACTAGTGGTCCTATTTGAATTCTGTAAACGCAGGGCGATTACTTATTTAAGTAGCTTTCTAAAGTATGACAAAAATTATTTAAAATAATAAGAAGGGGTGGGGGAGCAGGCGGGATGCATTTCGCATAAATTGTTTTTTTTTGTAAAAGTCAAAATATTAAGTTGATGATCTCGAATAAATTGGGATAAGGTAGGATATTATTATAGCATTCTTAACAGAGACAAAAAAGTCACGCTTTTATTTTTCAAGATCTTTACCGAATGATTTAAAAGATAATGTAGCCAACTTGTGGCGGGCGCAATATGATTTATTAAATTTGTCTATCTATTTGAAAAAATAATAAGAATAATTCAAATAAAAAATAAATCTGTATAATTTGAAATTGATATTTAGGTTTTTATTTAAAAAAATATATTTAACAAAATAACAATTACTTAGTAGGTAATGTATGAAATAATAATATAAACTATATTAAAAAAATAACACCAAATATACCCATTCTAATCGGAATAGGATTTCTTGCTCGGTGCTGTGTCATTCGTTATTGTACCTAAGTCACTACCTAAATCATCATTTTCTTGCTTTTTTAAATAGTTCTGAACTGCCTCGTTGCGTTTCTTATATTTTTTTGAGCTCACCTTTCTTTTTGAGGATATAAAAGGATCAGAAGTAAGTAAAAGAACACGCATGAGATCCTTATTCGTATCTGTTCTTGAACATTTTCTGGTGTGAGATAATCGATGTTTCCTAACCTCTTTATGGCGAGCCTCAAGCGCATCCTCCGACAGTTCTCCAATGGGCAAACAAAATGCATCAATTATCTCACACCCATGAACAAGGACCTTATGTACCGTGTTTGGCATGTTGTACCACTTATAAAGGTGGATATACAAATTTCTTGCTTCTTCCAGCAATGACGCAAACTTTTCCATATCAATAGCGCAACCACTAGCTAACACTCCTAAGATGATCGCAAATTTCTCGATTAATTCCCTGTCAACCCCTGTGATATCTGAACTTGTTTGTGCATTGTGGACAAAAATTCTGGCCGTATTGCCATCATTTGAGGAGTCATACCCGGGTTTTGGTTTGTCAACTATTAGAGACAGCTTGGCTCTGAACTCTGCTTGGATTCGTTTTTTGTTTGTTTCAACTATAGCTTTGTTTTCAGGCCCACGAACCTGCCAAGATTTAATTGGCAGGCGGTATCCAATATGGAGTAAGCATTCAAAAAAACGAATCCAGCAGTGTAAAGTTGACAAACCAAACCGGTAATTGTCTACGTTAGGAGGACGGTTAATCCCTGCTAACGTGTTCATGTCCTTGGGTGTGGCTCCGCAAATGATGCACTTCATA